TTGATCCGCTAGGAAGACCATACAAGAAGCTCTGGCAAGAAGAGTCCGCCTCAGCAAGAGCCTGGCAGTCCTTCGCAGTAGCAGCAGTGGTAGTCTTGAACGGCTCAACATCACTGCTAGCAGAGCCAGAAGTAGCACAGTTGCACTTCAAAGATCGGCGAACAAGAACCTTCTTGTGCACGGTACCCCAAGGCTCAGAGGTAGTAGGCGCAGAAGTAGGAACGCGATCAGCAGCACACTGCTTATCAAAGACGTGAAGACCGTCCGCGCGAGCAGGAACCTCGGAAGCCGAGACCTTGAAGAGGAGACAGCTAGGCTGCGAGTGTCCCTTGACGAGACCAAAGGCGAAGCTCTTGCAGTGGTCATCGGAGGCACAGAAGGTCTGGCAGTCGATGGCGGTGTCAGCTTTACCGGTATGGTAAGGCTGAACCTTGCGGTTGGAAGAGGCGCTGGGGGCGATGTTGCACTTTGGGGTGGTGGAGGCAAAGGGGGTTGCCATGGCGGAGGCCATGGAGAGGGAAAGGAGAGTGAGAGAGTACTTCATTTTGAGCTGAGTGTTGAAGAGATTGAGAAAGGTAAAAGAATGTGTTTGAAAGAGTGTAGTGAAGATGAACGAGAGTGTTAGAATTTTTGATGCTGTGATGAGAAAACTTGAAGTTGATGGGAGAGAAGTCAAGTATTTATCCTCGAAGCATTCGAACATCTAGTGCAGTTTGTTAATGCAGTTGAGAGGAGTCCTTTCTGAGTGACGCGTTTGTCGCGCTATTCTGTGTACAAAGACCTTCAACATGGAGGTCTGCATGAATTCGAAATCGATAGTCTGGGAGCTAAGGCCCAAACTTTTCAGATTGAGAATCGTGATGTGGGAAAAAGCATCTTGTCGGCAGACCCAGGCTTAGGAGTTCCGTCATCTAGCTTCGATGAAGATGGAAAAGTCTTGTGGCTAGCTAATCTTTTGGAATCATACCAGAGGTCATGGCGGCGAATGGGAAGAAATCTAATCTGCATTCGCTCCTTGAGACTCGAGTGTCGTTGTCAATGAGGGTCTCGACGACTTATGGAACAGCTAGCTTCCCCCTCGACCCGATGGGAAAGGATGAGGTCTGCAATTCAATCTCGTGTCACTCGCTCTTTGTGATAAGTGACTCTCGAGTTCAGGGCCAACTATGAGATGCTCCTCCTCATATTCTTCATTCAGCTGGATAACCCTCTTGGCTTGATTTCCGTGAGATCCTGTATCGACTGGTGTTACTCAGAAGTACTTCGGGAGTGCTCTTTCGATGGTCTCATCATTCATCCAGAGAGGTTAGTCTCGATCCCGAAATTGGTCATTTCGTCGGCCAACACACACGTATTTCCCCTTCACCTACACTCCCGATAGCTCATTCTCCCAGATTCTCAAACCCATTGTGGACTCATCAAGGGCTCTCTTGTGAACTATTGATTCAGATTCATGCAGGCTTCTACTCCGCCATATGCAGCTTCCACTCTTCGAATTCGTAAGCACTTTTCCATGCTCCCCCAAAATAAATGGTTTAACTCGGGTTTTGAAACATTCAGCCACTCTTAGTCTCAATATTGAGGCCTTCGTGCTCAACCCCTGCATCTTGATATCCATTTCTCCCAACAGAAACATTAAACAAGTCAGCTCGGTAAAACCTTTCTTCCGTTTCATCCGAAAACAATTCAAGAGCGTCTATTGGTGATAAATGCCGAAATCTATTTATATCCCGAAAGCTTGTCACTGAAGCTAATGCTGGAGCGGGAAGTGGGATGATCCGCCGGCCGGATGGAAACAGCAAAGCTATGATCATTGACCGGCTTGTTCGCTGAATGTCAAGACCCCTCTCCCTTGGTGGTTAGAGTAAGAGTTGTTTAACCGTTGATCGACTGATTGATCTGTCTAGCTGAGGCATTTCCGATGCAATCTAGCTTATCTCTCAAAGAGGGGTAAAATATCATATGACTCTTCCATTTTGAGAAAAGGCAGCTCCTTCGAGCACAATGCCCTGCTAATTAGCACCCTACATTCTAATAAAAGTGGTGGTGAATAAATCCTGCGCAATAACGAACCTCCACGTGATCCGGCTCCAGGTTCTATGTAGTATTATACACCTTAGTACCTTCTCTTTTGGACTGTAAGTAAGGTTAGCAGGAGATTAATGGATCGATGTGACTCATGCCGAAATTCAGAAAACACCGCAGCAAAACCTCTATATCTTTTTCATCCAGCTTATAAATAGAGGGAAACAGTTACACTCCTGTATCAAGACTTCCATAGTGGCTCAGTGGATTATTACATAAAAGCGCCAGAATACGTATGTCTAAAATAATGGCAGCCAATACATCCCAGCAGCAACCCCGCGGCAGGCTCCGCGATGTCATTCCAGAGGCACATCTTGGGTTTTGGTCACCTGGTCCGAAAAATGGCATCACAGACGTTCCCGGTGTCCTTGCCCATACGACCACTATCCGTGATGAGAGTGGGCAAATTAACACGGGATTAACCACCATCCTCCCTCGCAAAGACTGGTTCCACAAGGCCTGCCATGCCGGCGTCTTCCGTCTCAACGGATCTGGAGAAATGACTGGGACACACTGGATCGAAGAAAGCGGTCTCTTGCACTCGCCCATTCTCATCACCAATAGCTTTGCCGTTGGGCCATGTTATACCGGTATCTACAAGTACGCAATTGAGCATTACGGAAAAGGCGAGGAGGGAATCGATTGGTTCCTACTGCCAGTTGTCGCTGAGACGTTTGACGGGCATCTCAACGATCTGAGGCAGTTCGCAGTTACGCCGGAGCACGTTGTGCACGCTATCACCAACGCTTCCGATGGGCCCATTGCCGAGGGCAACGTGGGCGGCGGTACAGGTATGCTGTGCCACGGAGGGAAAGGTGGCACCGGGACCAGCAGTAGAATCGTGCCTGGGCAAAACGACACGTCGTACACAGTGGCCGCCCTTGTCCAGGCAAACTATGGAAGACTCCAGCATCTGCACATCTCAGGCGTCCCCGTCGGACGGATCCTACAAAAGAGAAGGGCAAAAGACGAAGCCGCCGCTGCTCACGATAAAGCGTACAACGATGCAAAGGATAAAAAGGACGGGTCCATCATCGTCATACTTGCCACGGACGCACCGCTTCTTCCTGGCCAGCTCAAGCGGCTGGCCAAGCGAGCGACCATGGGCCTTGCGCGCGTGGGCAGCTATGCTCACAACCCTTCGGGAGATCTATTTCTTGCGTTTTCCACAGCTGCTGAGATACCCGTGCAGACAGCCGCTGGCGAGGAGAGGACCATTGATCCTTTTAAGCCTGAGCTGATTGATGTAGAGGCGACTGACAACAAGACTATCAACGGCTTGTTTGAAGCAGCAGCGGATGCTACAGAAGAGGCTATATACAATGCGCTTTGTATGGCTGAGACTATGACGGGCAATATGGGCCGGACGGTAGAGGCCCTGCCATTGCAAGCCGTCAGGGAGATTATAGCCAGATTTAAGGAAGCCGAGGACTCATTTGAGTAAATAGTAGTAGAATGCGACCTGCTCTTTGTTTTTGAAACCAATTGGCGTGCTTAAGTTATAAGTAAGAACAGTAACTGTAGGTATCAGTGTCGCCTCAGGGAGCAAGAAAACGTCAGACCTTGATATGGGGTGTCAAAATAAATTTAGTAAAGAATCCCCTAAGTTTAGGCTAACTTTACCTAAAGATCTTCATCGATTAGGGTCAAGGTCCTGAGTTTTCTTTCCTCCCCTAGTGTCGGCAGATCGGACCAGGTGGTGAGCTTTGGTACCGATTACGTGGATGTTTTTATGCGGTAGAAACGTTTTCTGGGGCGCACTGTACGCAGTAGTTAAGACGCTGGATGTTTCACGTCGAGTGGATCGAGGAAGCGGAAATGCACAGCCACATAGAATAGGGATAATAATATTAAAAGATTAGTTGAAAACTACCCGGGAGCCGTTGATTAATGGTTGAGGTTCATCAAGTTTGGGCTGTATTGCGAACGAGATTAAGATTGGAATAGGTTGGGTATTATCTATGCGTGATGTCTAGCTCTAATACCTTGTATATGTGAACTTGACAGGCTGAGTGCGATCAACAACCAGCAATTAGTCAACTGTTAAAAACTTGGAAAACTGCATATCTCGAGTATGATAATTATTGGACCGTGACTGGTATCCAAGTTATATTCATAACTTGAACATTTCCTTATGCAGAGCCTCAATGGAGCCTCAGCCGTTGACTCCACGCGGCTACTGCAAGCCTTGAACCTACAAACAATTTTTTTTAGCGCAAACCTACCAAGGTCCCGAAGGGAAACGTCGATTTGTTTCAACGGCATGTGGGGGATCGGCCTAATGCTGGTCAACAATCAGCGATCATTTCATCCCAGCCGTAATGAACGACGGAACTTTCCGTCCAGTGAATGGCCGGCCACTAATGACTGAACGAATGGAGCTGGTAGTAAACATAGCAACGGCATTGGTACTATTACAGGAAATTCGTCATGCTGTGAGTAAGGTCACTCCTACTCCGTACGGTCCTACTGGCTTGGTGCCCAAGATCATGATTTCTGTACCACGTAGGTATGATGATCATGTAACTCTAGAAGATTTACCTTAGTGAACTCATAATGGGGCACGTAAGCTCGGGACTATCAACAACGGCACTGCTTGCATGCATGGTGTGGACCTGGCTCCAACTTCGAGTTGCATTGCCATTGAGACTGCTATGCTGTAAACTCCAGCAGGCCAAAGCTTCTGATCTTCACGACGTGACGGAAATAGCTGACGCGGTCATGATGAGTTGCGGAACAATACTGTCTATGAGATCCTTGAATATGATCGACTCAGCAGGTATAAAGGGATCATGAAATCTCGACAAAGACTGACCTTTCCTCACCAACACAATCACTTCAATCAAGCATCTTTACACTCTCAACATTCTTTCAACTCACTTCAACTTCAACTTCAACTTCAACCATCTTTCATCATGAAGACCACCATCGCCATGCTCACCGCCTCAATGGCCACCGCCATCCTCGCCCATCCCTTCGACACCCGCTCCCAGCAGTGCAACATCGCTCCCTCCGCCACTCCCTCCACCGATATCCAACCCCTTTCCACTCCAACTGCCTCTACCGCCCAGGCCTGCCAGAAGCTCTGCACCGAGCACTCCTCCTGCAAGAGCTTCCTCTTCGGTCTCCCCGCTGACGCCAAGGCTCCTACCTGCAAGCTCTACTCTGTCCCTGCTGCCCAGGTCCCCAACCAGGGAAACAACCTGTATGTCTTTGACAAGGCTTGCTCCGACAAGGCTGTACCAAACACCAAGCCTACGCAGGATAAGCCGCGTGGTGAGGTGAAGGTCAGGGTTGAGAGGGATGTTAAGCTTGAGGGCAAGCCTCCTGTCAAGGATGAGCCCCATGCTGGTGACAAGCCTAAGAACAAGGCTCCTCAGAACCCCCCTCACAACAAGAGGGACAACAAGCCTGAGGGAAAGCCTCCTGCCGAGGACCAACCCCCTGCTGATGATAAGCCACCTAAGGGCAAAGCTCCCGTCAACCCTCCCAACAACAAGAGGGACGACAAGCCTGAGGGCAAGCCTCCAGTCAAAGATCAGGACCACGCTGGTGATAAGCCACCTAAGAACAAGGCCCCCGTCAACCCTCCCAACAACAAGCGCGGCATCAAGCCTGAGGACAAGCCCCGTGTTGGTGACAAGCCCAAGGCTCCCCTACCCCCCAAGGACAAGAACTCTGGCGACAACGGACACAAGAACAACTAAGCGGCAACTCCTCACCGGCACTTGTATAAGGAGCACTGGAGGGTGCTCGAGTTTCAGCTTTGGATGGTAGAATCTGAGCTGGGCATGACACAGCACGAAAAGTAATAGGGGGAGCATGATAACTCAGCCTGGGATATCATGATGGAGATTTGAACATGTACTAGACATTCGTTTCGTTCGGACTTGCAGTTTGCTTTGAATTCTTTTTTCGATAGTCAATAGATCGGCCGATCACTCAATTCCCTTTCCTTCCGACCTTGATGTGACGCTAGCTTGAATTGCTCTGGTGTTCTCATACTCAGCCTGTATCACGGCGATTAGAGCCAAAGTACCCTGACGGTCTTCTTCTCTATCACTCATTGAACCTTTCCTCTTCAAGCTATGCTGAAGCCTCCTTCAAACCTTTTTTTGCATTCTATCCTACCTAGTTCGAGACACTTTGAAGGCTAATCTTTACATCCCATTAAGCTTGTAATATCTCGTCGAGTGATGTTCAGCCAGTAATGCCAAGAATGTCTGAGAATTGCTTCATCATGGTAGAAAAGTGGGGTCGCGGATTTGTCGCGAATGCCCTCATCAATTGGATCATGGACTTTGTCTACAGAATGCACGTTCCGATCACCAAATCTTCACTAAAGAACCAATCGCTATTAACTCAAAGTATTTGTTTTATTTTCTATTCTATTTTAAATGAGGTTCTTCAGCTCCTGCTTCGCCCTAAACCGTCTTAGGTTATCAGCGATAAGCCCCTCGGCACCCTGAGGTCTTCCACCAGCCGCGTGCGGTGACACAATAGTATTAGGAGCCTTCCAGATCCTGCTCGGCTCAGGAAGAGGCTCAGTCTCGAAAACATCCAGCGCCGCACCGCCAATCTCTCCCTTCTCAAGCGCATCGACAAGAGCATCCTCGTCCACAGATGTACCGCGCCCCACGTTGACGACCCACGCGTGGTTGGGCAATTGCTTCAGGCGCTGAGCGTTGAGGACGTGGCGCGTGGAGTCAGAGCCAGGCAGAATCATGACGAGAGCGTCGGTCTCGGGGAGGAGTGCGTCGAGGTCGTCTTCGCTGTAGACTTCAATTCCGTTGCGGACACCCTTTCGGCGCGCAATGCCCCGAACTTCGGCGCCGAGGCCGACGAGCTGCGGGGTGAGGGTCTTTGCAATGTTGCCGAAGCCCCAGATGAGAACACGCGCATCGCGCAGTGTCGTGAATGCATTCTTGGGTCTATCGGGCTGAGGACCGCCTAAATGACCGGGCCATTTTCCTTGAAGTTGATAATCGCGCATCTCGTAGAAGCGGCGCGCGGCGTTGAGCAGCAGACCCAGCGCATGCTCAGCGACAGTGTGATCGTGCAGACCCGAGCCCGTTGTGATTTTAATCTTGGAGGCGTCGAACCCAGCACCCAGAACATCATTTGGCCCAGCGGCGAGGGATTGGATCCATTGGAGCTTTGTGAGGCGCTTTGCCGCGTCTTTTAGGTTCTCGGGTGTGTTTGTCCAGGTGACGAGGATCTCGGCGTCGACGTGCTCTTCGGGGATGGTCTTCTTGACGTCGTAGGGGAAGAGGTCGACGGAGAAGCCCTCGAGGCTCTGGACGTCGAGTTTGAGGGATGTTGGGTAGAGGAGCTTCATGGCGGGCAGTTGTGAATAGGAATTGGAGATGAATCTACGTGAGAGGGGAGTTTGCAGGGAGCGGGAGGTATATGTACGGATGCCGAAGCGTGGAGATGAGCGCATGATGGGCAACATGATGACATCGGAAAGAAGACCGTTTTGTAGAAAAAGGGCCAATCACAGCTCGTCTTGTACGTTGAAGCCGAGGCCGGAGGAGCCCCGCCGTGGGGGAGGGAGGAGTTTTGGGGGTGATCTAGTGAGGAATTGGGAGTTGGGATTGGCTGGATCTTGGACGGACCCCAAATCCCGCGGGATGGCAGAGTTCAACGGAAACGATGAGGGCGAGAGTGCACCTTTTGTATTCTCATCATGTGAAGCTGGTGATGGAGGATTGGGCCTTATGATGTGACGTCACGCATGGGATTTTGATGATAAGATAGGCTTATCGATAATGAAGTCCAGTGCAACACAAAAACCCCAGACGAAGTTGGCAATGCGTGTGACACCTTCGCGAGCTGATCGAGGCTGCTCACAGGAGGAGCTAGCATAATGTTAGCTAAAATACGATAGGGAGAACTGAGAATATTGTCCTTTTTGACTATTTAAAGAATAACTGATTGATGGTCTCGTTTTCTAGAACAGTTCAAAACCTTACAACGCATTACCCTAGACCTAGCAAGGGGGGGATACAAAGCAGCCACTTAATAGCATATATTTTTTTGGACAATTAGGGTAGCAAAACCATTTGCTGTGCATGAGTTCCATCCAAGAGCTGTTTCTAAAGGACTTAGCTGACACCGAATCGAGTCATGCTTGGAACACTACCCGTGCTCACCGACTCCTGGGGAGTTCGACCTTCTGGTTTTTTAGTCAAGCACCAAAAGATCCATTACCTCGCGTGGAGATTGTCTCTGCCTGGCCTTACAGGCTTCAATGCCCTCTAAAAACTCACATTACATAACCATTACGCTCTCAAACTCAAGATTTGCGAAAGAAAACTCGTCAGAAACTGGTCTTTGTTTGTAATTTCTGCGCAGGATGGAGCTTGCTGGAGGCCGCCAGCCAAATCTGACACTCTGAATCTGGATAGCGCGATGGAGTCGGGGATTAAATAGCCCACGCGAGCTAAACAGCGCCTTGTACTGGGGTAGTCTACAGCCCTATTCTTAAAGCTCAGAAATGACAAGATGGTACCTGACGAGCCCTCGTAAAGAAACCAACGACTAAGATAAATGCCTCATCCTCCACCAACGGCCGAAACTCCCCTCTTTGCTATGTGCCAGATGACCCTTTTCTTTTCCAGGACTTGTGAAAAGGAGCAAGAAATGAGGGTTTCTGAAGCACCCCAGGGAGTTTGCATTGAAAGCACTGGTCTGGTTTGTCTTGGGTCATCGAGAAGCTAATCGCGCTTTACCAAAAGATTACATCTGTTCCTGTTCACCAGCGCACCCCGAGCAAACCAAGGCTAAGGTTTCAATCTCGCGATAAGTCTTATCATGATATGATATGACACAGAAGATAAAATAGCAATCTCTCATCCAAAATCGAGTGGCTTGCGAAACGACCGTGACAGCGTTGCACTGGCGGGGACCCTGAACGCTAGGACCCGGCGCTAAAAAGCTTGTCTCGCACAGCCAAGACGTCGTAAATCGAGCCTCTAAAAAGCTCCAATCCATCTTTTCATCCGTCCATCTGGCATGAGGGCTGCCTGTCCCAACATGAGTGGGCTGCCAGCTGCGCCCGTTGTTAGCGTCTCAAATCTCGGATACCTCATTTCATCCAGGCTTTGTTTCCTCACTGCTAGCGAGCTGCCAGATTCCGGCTAGAGGGAGGGGTCCATTGACAAAAACCTGCATTTGCTGCAACCCATATCCATATCCGTACACCCACTTGCTCGGAAAGAAAAGGCTTGTTTTCTCTTAGCTCTTTGTGTGTCGATGCTTATTTCTGTCAGTGGGAGTGCATTGATCACATTGTGTCTGTGCTGCATCATTAGTGAGACTGCCCAGTTCAGGCACATGCCGAACCGGATTACCTAGACCGATCGACGCTGCGCCTCCTCAGCTAAGGATTCCGTCCAATGTCAAACGTGCCTCGATATTCCCTCACTCGCACCCTGCATGTTCGTGCACGAGGAACAGAGACTCCCCACGATTCCTTCGCGTCATAGCTCATGGATTACTCGTTTAAGCGTAAACAGCTTGCTTGTTGCCATCGAGGCAGTGCACATGGTGACCAACCACATGCTCTAGAATGGTCAATCGTATACGCATGAAACACCAAGTTACTGATATCTTAACCACCGTATTGGTACACTCCCAGGGCTGGTCTAACATCATGACACCAAGGAGGGCGCACTCCACATCCTTCTCGTTTATCGACACCGGTTTTTAAGTTCCCTACGCCTCTTGATTCAGGTCCTGTGGAGAAAAGGGATCGAGAAAAGAGAAAAGTCGCTAATCCTGCTTTGAACGTGGGATTAAAGGCGGAGCTGAGGATTGTACCTTTACTATGGATTCACTTATACGAAATACTTCAACCAGCCTTTACGACGTCGCTTAACGCGAACCGTCCTGGAAATGATGAGCGATTATCCTGCTACCCACATACCAAAACAAATATCAAGGCTCGCATTCTCCCAGCTTCTCCTCTCGTTTTACCACTTATTCTACTCTGTTACTGCCCTTGACATCTCTTCTGTTCTCACTTGGTTAACCTGTCCTGTCCTCTCACCTTCAACATGATTGAAGACGAGAAAAAGGACGCCGCGCTTGTCGGTGAGCGCATTCACTGGAACGATGACGACGAAGCTGGTCGCGTTTCGCGTCATGGTGAGCGACGCTCTCGTAGACGGTCTCGCTCTCGCTCGAGGGATTCGTTGAGTATTCATCGAGCGGGCTCGAGGAATCGCGCTGATCCGTCGCTTGTTCTACCTGTCACCTATCGCACAGTGTAAGTCGCAATGAGAACAAAGGATGCAATTGTACTGATGTCTGGACAGCTCATTCAACATCGAGGAGTCCAAGGGCAAGGAGCAAGCTGAGCTGGCCAAGGCGAAGGACGTCACTACAAAAGGCAAGACATCCTTATTTAGCTCTCCTAAGTTGACTTGTACTAATGTCCATTGCGCATGTAGCTTTGACGGACCTCGAGTGGCATACCATCGCCCCCTTCGACGTTGAGAAACGCCTTACTACTTCGTCCACCGCTGGCCTATCGACCGAACAAGCTCAGCGAAGACAGCGTGAATATGGCAGAAACGCACCATCTCCCGCCAAGACACACTGGTTCAGAACAATCTTTCTCTACTTCTTTGGTGGTTTTGGAAGTATTCTTCTCACTGGCTGTATCCTCGTCTTTGTCTCGTGGAAACCACTGGGTGATCCCCCTGCTGTTGCCAATCTTGTAAGTCTCCCATTCTCTATCTTTTGAACTTGCTAATTTTAAAAGGCCCTCGCTATTGTGCTCCTCGCCGTGTTCTTCATCCAGGCACTTTTCAACATGTTTCAAGACTGGTCTACATCACGCACCATGTCTTCCATCAAGAACATGCTCCCTGAGGAGGGTCATGTTATTCGCGATGGTAATCTCGTCGACCTCAACGCTGCAGATATCGTTCCAGGCGATGTCATCAAGGTCAAAGCGGGGAACAAGCTCCCTGCTGATATTCGCTTGATCGAGGCTTCTTCCGACGTCAAGTTCGACCGCTCTGTTCTTACAGGAGAGTCAAAGCCTGTGGCGGGTACTGTGGATCACACTGATACCAACTATCTTGAGACGCACAACATTGGTCTGCAAGGTACACACTGTATCCTTGGTTCGTGCACTGGTATTGTCGTTGCTACTGGTGATAGAACTGTCTTTGGACGTATTGCGAGTTTGACGAACGAGCCCAAGGTACAGATGACGACGCTTGAGAAGGAGGTTCTGTACTTTGTCATCATCATTGCCAGTATCATGATTAGTATGATCGCTGTTGTCTGCATAATTTGGTACGTCCCATCCACCACCCTATCCTCCCATGGCAACACTAACGTTCTTCAACAGGGGCGCATTCCTGAAAAAGAAACACCCCGACTTCATCAACGTACCAACCCTCATCGTCAACTGCGTCAGCGTCGCCATTGCATTCATCCCCGAAGGTCTTCCCATCTCCATAACCGCTGGCCTCACCATTACCGCCAACCTCATGAAGAAGAACAAGATCCTCTGCAAGTCCCTCAAGACTGTAGAGACACTGGGATCGGTTTCTGTAATTTGCTCTGACAAGACCGGTACTCTTACCACTGTAAGTCTCCTTTGTACTTCATATCTGAGCTGGGCTAACACGTTACAGGCAAAGATGGCTGTCTCTGACTGCGCAGTCGGAGGACTCAACATGACCGTCGAGAATGCTCGCGGCAAGTTTGGCCAGTCTAAATCCTCTACCCACCCGATCATCCAACTTCGTGCTTTGGCTGCTCTTTGTAACGCATCTGAGTTTGATGCTGCTACAAAGGACGCCCCACTGGCAGACAGAAGGATCTTTGGTGATGCGACTGATCAAGCTGTCCTCCGATTCGCAGAGTTTGTGGATCCCAGCAGTGTTGATTACCTGCGTGCTTGCTGGAACAAGATCTATGATCTTGCTTTCAACAGTAAGAACAAGTTCATGATTCGTTGCTTTTCCTGCACCAGAACAGAGGCTGTAGCTGCTACGCTTAGTAAGGAGACTGCTTTCAACACAGACGATATGTGAGTAATCACCGCAACACTTATTATGAACCTTCTAACGATGGTATCTAGCCTCCTGACCATCAAGGGCGCTCCTGATGTTCTTATCGGTCGCTGCTCTCACTATGTCTCTGAACATGGAGAAACTATTCCTCTCAATGCTGCTATGCGAGCTACGGTGGAGCAGCTGAAGAACACTTACTCTTCACAAGGTAAACGATGCTTGTTGCTTGCTCGCAAGATCGTCAAGGGCAGCGACCTTCCTAAGAATCGGGACACGAGTGAGTTTGAGCATGCAGTCACTCGGGAGTCAAACACAGGCCTCACCTTGGTTGGAATGGTCGCCATCGTTGACCCATTGAGACATGACATTCCTCATGTTGTGAGCACGTTGCGCGGCGCTGGTATCCGGATTGCCATGGTAAGTCCTCTCTCGCTGGCGATTGTGAAATAAGCTGACAGTTACTAGGTCACGGGCGATTTTGCCCTTACAGCCCTAGCCATCGCCCGCGAAGCCGGCATCGTCACCTCCCAGACGGTCGATGACAGCACAGCCCTACAGCGCTACAGCCCCGATGACACCAAGGATTCACCTGTTTCCCACCTCGGCGCCATCGTCCTCAGCGGTCCAGAGCTCATGTCTCTCAACGAGCATCAGTGGACGACGCTTACTCACTACGAGGAGATTGTGTTTGCGCGAACAACGCCGGAACAAAAGCTTCGCATTGTTCGTGAGTTCCAGAAGGGTAATGTTGTAGCCATGACGGGTGATGGAGTCAATGATGCTCCGTCACTCAGAGCTGCTGATGTTGGTATCTCGATGGGCAGTGGCTCCGATATTGCTATGGAGGCGGCTGATATGGTTCTGCTGGATACTTTCTCTTCTATCATCATTGCTGTGCAGTATGGTCGTGTTGTATTTGACAATCTCAAGAAGGTATGCATCGAGCGAGATCTACATGAAGGATGACAGACTGACATTGATTCTAGGTCATCTCCTACCTCCTACCTGCCGGCTCTTTCTCAGAGTTCTGGCCCGTCATGGCCTTTGTCGCCTTTGGCTTGCCCCAAGCCCTGTCCTCATTCCTTATGATCATCATCTGGTAAGTACCCCTGCTACCTGTATCCAGACACGCACTAACCTTCGCTAGCTGCTTCACCGACTGCGCCGCCGCGACAATGCTATCCTACGAAAAGCCCGAAGCCGACGTTCTTACACGTCCCCCACGCAACATCAAGAAAGATCGTCTCGTGAACTGGCAGCTCATCCTCCAAGCCTACGGAGTCAACGGCGTCCTCCAAACAGTCGCCTCCTTCGCTATGGCATTCTGGTACCTCCAGCGTCAAGGTATTCCCTTCAGCGAGCTCTGGTTCAGCTTTGGAAAGCTCCCTACTGGTATTGATCCAGACTACTACCTCGCCAAGACAAATGAGGCCTCGTCTATCTACTTTGTCAACCTTGTTGTGATGCAGTGGTTCAATCTGATGGCGACTAGAACTCGCCGACTCAGTATCTTCCAGCATCCTCCCTTGTTCAACCCGAACACGCAGAACTGGTACCTGTTCCCTGCTATCATCTTTTCGCTTGCCATGGCTATCTTCTGGCTGTACATCCCTCCTCTGCAGCCCGTTCTGGGAACTACTCCTGTACCAGTTGAGCACTGGTTTCTTCCCTTTGCCTTTGGTATTTTTCAGCTTTTGTTAGATGAGGCTCGCAAGTTTGGTGTCAGAAGATGGCCTCATGGAATATTAGCTAAGTTGGCTTGGTAAACGATGTGTCGCCTCTGGCCTGTCCCGGGCTTCAGCGTGGACAATCTAGATTAGAGCTGTTAGTCCATGGGTAAACCTTTAGAGATACAAGAAAGTAGTAAGAATATATTATTCTAGTTCTATAGCAAAAGTGACACCTTCATGTGATGTCATCTGAGCTTTCTTTGGGGCATATTGTGGAGTTTGGGGGATATTCCTCCTAGGCAACAGTGAGGGCGACGAGTATTTCGCCCGTATGTGTTTTTTCGGTGTTCTTTACCTTTGTGGCTTTAAGGCTGAAGCCTCTTTTTGACCCCTCAACCCTATCACAGAGGGATATTCCAATAGCGATCCTTATCCTGTCGGACTTTAGTTGCTACAGAAGCGGACCAATCGGCTCCCCCGGGCCTATTCGTAAGAGGCTTTGAGAATTCGGGTTTGTCTTTAAACTTTGTTCTGGAAGCTTGAGTAGCTGAGTTCAGTGTAATAGTTTTAAACTCCCGGCCACAAATCTCAACGGCAAATAATACATGTGGCTCCCTGTTTACACTTCATGACACTGGCTTTGATCGAATCATATAGCATACAAATATTTACAAGCCAGTTAGGGACCAGAAACGTAAATTTCGTTCAATTTGATGACAATGGCGTCGATGCTTTCAGTATACTTTCAGGCACAATCTCAAAAAGTCTATGTAACGGAAGCGAGAGTATTTTGCTTTTCTTCATTTGACCGCTCTTCTTGACCTGCGTCGTCCTTTCTTCCTTTCTCTACGCTTCAGATTGTGATTGGAGTGCCATATAACCCCAGGCATGAATCCTTTCCCTTTTGAACGATTGCCCACCGAGCTGAAGATCATGATCATCAGATTTGCTATCCCCTTGCTCCCAGCATGCTTTGAAAAGAGTTTTGGCGGATGGATCTTGAACAATGGCTTTATGCAAGTAAATGAGGAAGATTTAAACCGAGTTCGCGCTTCATGTTTGGAAATCAAGACAATATGCGATAGAATACGATGCTTGGTGGTATGTACACGTGGACAAGAAGTATGTCGATTTGACCCTCTACGCGACATACTCGTGATAATGGAGCCCTGGGTTGGTTATTCCCTCGAGCAAGGGCCAGAATCCTCTGAAACAGGAGGCCCTCCTATCCGGCGCATGTTCTACGAGATGGGAGACCCTAGTCACCCAAGAGGAGCCCCAGGTTCGTCCCCCGCGCTTGGATCAAAAACCGACTAGAGATATTGACATCACTACAGTGCTTCAAACAAGTAACGCTCTCCCAGAGGATAGGGAACAGACGTTCGCTGAGATGCCATTCGATTCTTCGTTACCTATATGGCCGCGCACCCCAATGCTCAAGGAGTTTACCTTGACCTCAGCTGTATGTGGTCCAGACTGGCATATCGATAGCTTTCAGCAATATGGGCCAGAAGTCAGCCCAAAAGACTGGCGATATACGCCTTGGATTAGCACCCATGGATACAGTAGTCAAAGTGGTCTGCAGCGTGTAGGCAAATGGCCTGGGTTTAGATACTGGACCGAGACGAGGAAGATCGAATTTAGGCCATTATCGTGGCCAGAGGTTCAGCCTTGGACGACAATGTTCCCATCAAGTGGGTGGGCAAGCCTTACCTCTCCTGAATTCATCCCTCACGAATTTGTTGCTCGACTATGGATCAATCGACCGGGAGAATCGATAGATGCTGAGCAATCACAATACGGTTGGATTGAGGTGAAGGCTCCCGAAGAAGGCGACGATTCTTGGGTAGAGCAGGTGGCAACAACGTGGAAGATGGTCCGGTATTTTTTGAAGAGACCGAACGAACTTATGGATTTTGAGTGGTATCTTGATAATGAGTAAGGACCAAAAAGTGAAGCCTGTGGTTGGGTAGCAGACTAGCAACGGGGAGTAATGACAAGGAAGCTTTGACGTCGTCTCCATCGGACTGGGCTGGAATTATGGAAGGTGACAGGCGACTGCTACACTGGAAGCCAAACAAAAGTGTCTGGAAGATACATCACGCTTCACTACTCTATACACTGGCCCCATAGCAACGGATCATGCATGAATAGTTAGATGTACGGTTGGCAAATCACCCAGATAACCAAAGTTCGGAATTTCATCGAGAATCTTTTGCCATCTTCCCAGAACCTGACACTAGCAGAATTTTCCAAACCTCAGCCCATCCCAATAAACTCAATATCACCAGCCAAGACGGGGATACTTCTAGAACAGACAGGCCACAAAGGGCGATCACCGAGGAAGCTGAACCACCATTACAAAAGTAGGTTAACAGCCAAGACAGAGTCGTCAGTCCTGGAACTTTACTGGCCCTTTCCTACCAACCCCCAACGAGTGTCGGCGAAGCAGGCGATGGGAATCACGGATACTTTCCCGCTCTCAAAGCCAAGAACCACATGCACCGAGGAACAGGATGGAAAAAGCTTCGAATCGTCAGCGGTAGACTTGGCGGGGAGGAAACGTGCCTGTACGAGAAGCCCATGTTGCAGCGGGAGGGAGAAGGAGTCGTGGCGCGGTTCTTGGCGAGTGCTTGGCGAGAGACGGGTTGAGATGGATGAGACGATGTGAAATATTGGCTTTTTAGTCTCGCTGATACAGGTCAATTTGTCTTTGCAATTTCGAGATGGCGATTAAGCATGATCACTGTAGCCACCGGGACATCTATACACGCGTTCTTAGTCCTGGATGATATTCGCAACCGTTGTACGGATATAAAAAGAAGCAGAAAAAGAACAAGTCTAATAACTTTATTCATGTTAACCTTTTGATCTTCAGAAACCTGTCTCAAGCAGTGACACGATAAACCCTGTAATTGATATGTCTTGGCATCCGGGGAGGTTATCTCTGGGCGAACGAGCTTCTCCACGTGGAGCTCTGAGCCATTTAATTGGCTCCCGCCCCCTGTTCCAAAGAGCCTCTTTTTAAGCTCTCAACGACAATCGTTGATGCACGTGGGTTCATGAGCGGCTATAACGAATTTCACGGAGAAGAGTGTCCTTTTAGATGCAGGAAATAATTACACAGTGATACAGTCTTCATGCGCTTGAGTATTTCTGTCAAGTGGCTCGAGTAAAGACTCTATTTCCGATGTTGGCAGTTAAGGTGGTGCATTCTTCTTTGGGGATCTGTTTGATGCTATTGTCGGCGAAGTCTGATGATTTCAATACGTCCGGTCGTGCTGTCCACCCTTGTTTTGAACTTTGAGGCCATGTCGCAAGCCCATCTGCAGGCAAGCAACTCTTCTGGTCTTAGCGTACGAGCATCAACTCCTGTCACTCTTACAGTCAACCTCTAAACAACAACTTCAGCATCCTCATGTAAAAAGAATTACCTTGAAGATCTCAATCACAAGACATATCGATCTCATCGCCATGATACCAAGACCCTACCATCACAACCCCCACAACCTTCTCCCCGCCCAGATCTCCCCCTGCCCAACGAACCACGCACGAGTTACGACTTCTCCCTGCTCGCGTGCCAAGCACACCCGCCAAGACGATAAATCTACCAAAGGACTCACCGAGGGACCTTGCCACTAAAGACGCATGCACCATCAAGCATAAGATTAAGCTTGTTCGCCAAGCCTTACCCGCTCCACACCATGGTGAGGGACACGGTGATATAAGGAGTCGGGGAGCGGGCTGTTTCTGCAATGTTCGACATCACTTCAATTCACTCTCTTTTAGAATACTAAAAGAAACCCGAGTCTTCGGTCTGCCTTGATCATGGTGCTTCATCAGTATGATTACATCTTTGCCATAGGCACCATCTTTTCGTTCCTCGATGCCTGGAACATCGGTAAGTTTCCCACGCACTTAACTTGTGATAAGATACTGACAGTTTAGGTGCCAACGATGTCGCCAACTCATGGGCTACGTCGGTTTCATCCCGATCCATCAGCTACATCCAAGCCATGACCCTCGGCTCCATCCTCGAATTCGCTGGTTCCGTCGGTGTCGGCGCCCGTGTCGCAGACACCATCCGCACCAAGGTCGTCGACATTGACCAGTTCGAGTCCGACCCTGCCCTCCTCATGCTCGGCATGATGTGCGCCATCGTCTCATCCTCGCTGTACCTCACCTTCTGTACCCGCATCGGTCTCCCCGTCTCCACGACTCACTCCATCATGGGCGGTGTTATCGGCATGGGTATTGCACTCGTCGGTGCTGATGGTATTCACTGGGCTGAGTTCGATAAGGGTATCAGCTCTGGTGTCGTTTCGGTCTTTCTTGCTTGGATCATTGCTCCTGGTCTGTCTGGTGCTTTCGCTGCTATCATCTTCCTTATTACCAAGTATGGTGTCATGCTGCGAAGCAAGCCTGTCTGGAAGGGTCTTTTCCTCACTCCCGTTTACTTCGGCATCACTGCCTCTCTTCTTACCATGCTTATCGTCTGGAAGGGCGGTAGCATCAAGGTTACCTTCAACGATGCTGAGACCGCTGGTATGATCATCGGTGTCGGTGCCGCTTGGGCCCTCCTCATCACCATCTTCCTCGTCCCCTGGCTCTACCGTCTCGTCATCTGTGACGACTGGGAGCTTCGCTGGTGGAACATCTTCCAGGGTCCTCTTCTCCTCCGCCGCCCTCCTCCTCCCGCTCAGCCTGAGGGTGCTGCTGGCGGTATCAAGGATTTCTACGAGGGTCATCTCACCCGCGAGGAGCTTGATGGTCTTCGACGTGCCGGCCGCACTGGTAGTGATGAGTTCGAGCGCGCTCAAGACCAGACCATCAATGAGGGTAAGGAGGCCACTACTGAGAACAAGAAGACCTCTTCCGAGGGCACTCCTGACATTGAGGAGCGCGTTGAGCCCAAGGCACCTCGCAGCCTCGTCGGTCCTAAGCCCGATGGAAAGTGGTTTAGCGGTGCTGTCCTCTACTGGTATCTCAAGAAGGCTTTTCTCTCTGGTGTTGATCAGGATATTATTGCAATGCAGAAAAAGAAGAGCATGCTTACCGGTGACTTGGATGAGATTCACGCTCACGTTGCTCACTACGACAACCGAGCTGAGTACCTCTATACCTTTATGCAAGTCATGACTGCTTGTACTGCTTCTTTCACCCACGGTGCCAACGATGTTGCCAACGCTATTGGTCCTTATGCCACTATCTACCAGATCTGGAGAACTGGTGGGCTTGAGGGTAGCAAGTCTTCTGTCCCTGTTTGGATTCTGTAAGTCTTTACTTGATGCCCCTTTGATCATTGACTAACTTGAGTAGCTGCTTTGGCGGTGCCGGTATTGCTCTCGGTATCTGGACTTATGGATACAACATTATGCGCAACCTTGGTAACCGTCTCACTCTCCACTCTCCTTCTCGAGGTTTCTCCATGGAGTTGGGTGCCGCCATCACCATCATCCTTGCTACACGTCTTAGTAAGCCTGCTTGCTCTACCCTTACCACTCATTCCAGTAACTAACGGATTCTTCAGAACTCCCTGTGTCTACCACTCAGTGCATTACTGGTGCCACTGTTGGTGTTGGCCTCTGCTCTGGTACTTGGCGCTCTATCAACTGGCGCATGGTTGCCTGGATCTACATGGGATGGATCATTACTCTTCCCGTCGCTGGTGTCATCTCCGGTGTCATCTGTGGTATCATCATCAACGCCCCTCGCTGGGGTTACTCTGGCTAGAGTCTCGCTCTTTATGTCTTATTGAGATCTACATACACTCACTCAAATTACCCTCTTGGGTCTGTTACAATATTAGAATGGATACGGAACCTAGGCCTGGATATCTTTACCGTGTTAGGCAGGCAGAAGGGACATAGGTTCAATTTCATAGATACCTTAATAAAAAAGTGCTCTTATTAAGTGAAGCTGCAGTGATTGGCGGAAGCTCAGAAGAATGCCCAGCTTCACGTTCGAGAGTATCTCATTACCTTGTGACTGTAGAACGACAGCACATCATGGCTGTTATGTAAACCATTGAAGGGGCGTCCACCATATGAATTGAACGAGAATATTGAGGGACTTCGTGCCTCTGTTGGTCGATAATAATCTTGATGTATCTTGAAAGCCTCGGGGTTGAAAATACCCCAATCACGTGCTACAACAACATTGCGGGGCAAGGTAAGCATTGTCATTATGCCCAAGATGCCATTTCATCTCGAAATAAACGACAAATATTGCAAGCATCTCCTGATGGATTACATTGCAAGCCTCCCGCTGGAGATTTTCCTTCAGATTTTAGAATATCTCGGGCCGTCGAGAGACTTAAGCTCCTTTACTCGTTGCGCTCGCTACATCTGTTGGCGGGCCTCCCAATGGCTCTTCGATTTTACCTTTGAGGAGCGTTGTAAAGTTCGACGTCGTGAACTGGTGTACCAGAAGTTCACAATACGGGCTATCAGCCTTGATTCGCAGCGTATGATGCAATGGCTGATCTACCATGAACTGAGTAGCCAACTGAATGGGTTAGTTCTCTCGTCCCTCTTCTTATCTCAGTACCTCTCGCTGACATCAAACATGTCAAGTTTTGTGCCTCAGCTTAAGCGCAAACACATCACGTATCTTCACCTGTCTATCACCGGAGATGCCCCCCATGTGGCAAGTCATCTTATCAAGCTTGGCACCGACATTTGGGAGCCTGGACAAGGTTTGCCAGACCTGACGCCTCTGTGCCTTGCCGTAGCGCAACCACAGAATAAAGCATTGCTTGATGCTGGCCTTCGAATCGCTTCCGGTTACTCTCTGCCAAGAACAACAGAGTATCTTCTGGCTAGGGGAGCTGATCCGAATAGGTTGAGTCGTTTCGGGCTGGCTGCTATTCATCTCGCAGCCATGAAAAAGGCCCCATGGCGAGGTTTTATGGGAATTTGTTATCTCCTAAATATGCGAGACGACTCAAACACCATCTGGGAATCAATGTTGAACAACACTATACATCATCTGCTCCGCTACGGAGGGGATCCAAACCTCAAATCGGCGGTGTCCCGCATGCATCATTGTCAACATACCTGCTGGCGCTCAGCAGATTGCAGTCACCGCGGGGCAAGAGTCCTTCATTTTTCCTGCAGTAGTGGCAACAAGAATATGTGTGAGCTACTGCTCAATAATAGAGCAGATTCAGGGTTATACGATGATGAAGGCTATCTCCCTTTATTCTCTGCTTTGAGTCAAGACCACGCCGAGATCTCCATATGCCTGTTACAAGGCAATGTCAAGCCGGAGCACCTAGTCGTTATACAGGCAAGCCAGAGCACAGCTCTTCATGTGGCCTGTCGATTTGCTTCGCCACAAGTGGTGAGGTTCTTACTAGAGCGCGGTGCCGATCCAAACGTCTTTGACTCTCATGGCAAAACACCCCTCCACGAAGCTGTCTATCAAAACTGCCCTGAGCTAGAAGATCGCATTGTTCAAACCTTACAGTTACTGTCAGACTACGGTGCGTCAGCTGATATCAAATCAGAACGGCACGAGACGGCTCGCGATATTGGTAAGATGTGTCTCCTTTCACGAGTTCGTGAGGTGTTTACGCCCCCCGGCCTCGAAAAGGCTCCAGCTCCTCGTAATCGTCTCAGAGCTTCTAAACTCACATCACCAATTCCGAAAACTACAAGTGCTGGTGGAAACCTAACGAAACAGCACAATACTCTACTGGATGTTGACAGTAACGATCCATTTCCCAGCCTAGGAAATGCCTCGAAGGCCCAGTGCAGTGATGCAGACTTCAATAAGCCTCGAGTTGTGTGGTTCGACAAGCCGGTAATAGAACGACTCTTTACCGCCAAGCCATCACTTTCGGGCCTTCGTGATGCTGCTGCTAGGCAGATACCGTTGGCGGGAAGCCCCTTGGCTGGAAAGGTGAACAGGAAGCAAAAGGGACCAGAAGCTGTAGAGAACGTGCAGGTGGCCTTTTCAACGTCGGGTTCGGCAAAGTTCTGGAGCTCGCTTTCGCCACAAACTTCCGGGGGCAATCAAATCGCGCCAGAACCAATTGAGGAGATTAAAAAGGGTTGTCACAAGAACAAGAAGAAAAAGTGGATTTCGTTAGATGTTCTATCATAAGCCAACGCTAGACTATCTTTAAGAGGGACATTGAGGCTTTGCAGTCGTGGGCAGATTCTATATGGAACTTCCGAGAGTGCTATCTAGCAGCGTTAGCAAATAGTAGTCAGTCCTTTCCTTGTAGGAATTCTCGTATTGTGGTTTCTACCCATAAATGATTCTCTCCCTCTTCTGATAGAAGGACCTAGATCTAGGCGTATTCCAAATAATTACAACATTCCTTTTCGAAGTCAATATGCGGATCGACTCCTTTTTGCTGAAGGTATCCCCTAGAAATCATCACTGCAACCCCTTGCAGCCTTATCTCTTCCCCTCAATTCTTGTTTCCTCTTCTCTCTTAGAACAGCCAACCAAAGCATAAATCAGTGAGACAAGACAGACCTGTGGAGGTCCCAGACCAACCAGGCAAAGAAGTAACCAATCATTAGATTAGGCTGCAATGGCGCGAGACCAGCGTCTACATTGTTGCCTTATCCCTGGTGGGCCTCCCGCATTTGTTGGGATCCTTTCTTGCCCTCCTGCTAGTTTACTGATTTCTAGTTCTCAGCTACAAACCAATCTCATCGGTGATCACTAGAACCTTTGACCTCATAATGTTTACCTGTGGAACATGCTGGCGACAGTTTCCGGCCGGCTGGCAATCGCGGGAGCAGCATATGAATGCCACTGGCCACGAGGCTCCTGCATTTGAGTGTGACACGTGCGACTGCTACTTCGGTAGCCGGAATGCAGTTGAACAGCACATGAACGATCTGGATCACTGGGACGAATCGGAGGAATCAGAGGAATCGGAGGACATCGTCTACGAATGTGATCATTGCGACGACGAGTTTGATGAAGAAAATGAGCTACACGACCATGAAGCTCGGGACCATTTCTACTGTGTCGTCTGCGATCGCCCATTCCAGGATTGGCATAGTATCAGCCAGGTTTGTGACCTTGATATCCTGTTTTCTTATACCGTTTGACTTACAATCCTAAGCACCTACGCGGCAAAGCTCATCGCACAACTACAGTCCAGTGTCCCTTCTGCAAAGTTATGCTAGGAACCGCCACCGGACTGGCCCATCATCTCGAGAGGGGGAGCTGCTCTAAAGCTCCTCTCAACCGTGATAAACTATATGCCGCCATCCGCCAGCGGGATCCGGGCGGTATTATTTCGAACAAATTACTCACTTGGTCAGGTAATGTAACCTATGCCGCCACAAAGAAAGCATGGAACGACCAGGCTGAGGCCTATGAATGCTATCTTTGCCATCGTCTCTTCGAAAAACTGGGGTCTTTGAACCAACACTTGGGCTCTCCTACTCATCAGTCAAAACTCTATCATTGCCCGGGAGTCTCTTGCAGAAAGGAATTCACCACTCTAGCCGCCATGATCAACCACCTGGAAAGTGAGAGTTGTGGGTATATGCGTTTTGATGTTGTTCAGAAAAGGGTTCAGTATATTGTAGATCCACGTCGTATGATTCAAGCATGATGAAAAGCAGCGTTGATATCACAATCGTGATAAGCAGTTAATAAACACGGTTTATATTAGTTGATTGCATCAAGCGTAATACTGAGTGGCATACGCTGTTATACCTCTCCATATTGACAGAAGCCGAGCTTACTAATATCAAAGACTCTTATTATAAGAGATATTTCTGTTGTCCTTGTCAAGCTTGAGCAAAATGCAACCTCGCAAAGCCTCAGGATCACGGTCGATGGCTATGATAATGCCAAAAAGTTTTCACATATGGCTCTCCGGTCATGCTCGAACCCATCTGCTGCGTCTGGCTCCAAAGTGACAATTTAAATATTGGAATTAACAGCACCAAAGCACCAACACGGGTAAGGGCCATGAAAAATGAATCCTTGATGCCTAAAATAACAGATATCACTGGGGGCTATGTTCTTTTGTCTAGCTGCTTCGTTATCGTGACTGTAAAATACGAGACTTGCATCACACTCAGCCGGTCGTTCATTAAGCCCGACAAGCCTGTTGTTTCAATATCTAGGCTGCCAGATATACCTACTATTTCCTGAGAAGAGCTGGGCTGAAAGCATTTGGTCTTATAGGTGCTCGCGGTTCTATCACGCTTTGGGATTGTAATGGAAGAAAGACCTTTTATCTCCACAGACTTCAGACCCGCTAGCCAACTTCTCGGGCGTGGTTCCACCTAAGAGGTGCTTAGGGCCTTGGTATGGTGCTACTAAAAAGTGTCATAAGTGCAAGGATGTGATAGGAGTCGTTATCAGAATTAGTTGAGGGGCCCTCTGAAGGGTGATTATGGCTCCCTGAGGTGCGGCCATTGAGAGCGACATATGCTGAGTTGGGTATTTGAGAAGCAAGAAAAGAATCTCTAAAATCATTGAGACTTAAAATCCTCTAAAGCTTTTTTCTATGAGCGACTTGCCACAAGGAACATCTTGATAGAATGACTAGGACTGTAAATATGAAAGGGTCCGAGAAAACAGTTTCAGGGACGGCTTCAAGTTTTCGAGACAACAGCATATATGACATTCATAATTCGATAAATTTAAACACCGACAGCTACATTTATAACACTTCAGCCACTCCTTAGCGTTGAAGAATGCCACCACGGTCACTTCCAACGACAACAAGCAGAAGTGATCAACTTAATCTCAACCTCAACTGATCTAAAAATACCCTCAATGGTCTATCTTCATCTAGGCACTCATCACAATGGTCGCTCTCAACGTGCTGGACCAAGCCACTCATGAGACTAAACGGTGTCTCACAGGTTGGACACTGAAACGGATAACCTCGAGTGTCAGAAACGTAGTAAAATGCTCGGTAGCACTGTCGCCCTGCATCCAAGACAGAATATCTATCAGCACCCGAAGTACATGTTCCAGTTTCCAGATGTAGCAGCATGGCAGATTCAGTAACAAACATCCTGCTACAGCCTGCGCATTCAACGGTCCTTTCAGCATGGACAAGCTTGTGCTGCGGCATACATGTCAGCTTCTTTTATGGTTAATTAGTTCGGGACGGAGCAAAAGCGAACCATTTTCAAGTTTTGCGCGGTTTGGAATCTTCTCCGACACACATTGCATATATTGTGCTTGTCCATATCATGCTGAGCCAGTCGATGGCCGTCCCTAAATTGCCGATAATTGCAAGTAGTGCATATATGGTGATCTTCCTCCAAGTGGGTATCTAGGTCTTCCAATGTCTCATAGTCTGTAGGGCTGGGGCAATAACCACAAAGATGGTGGTTTTCAGAGTCCTGAACGTGTTGCTGTTTGGCATGCTGTGATCGAAAGCCCTTGTTACACCTATCACAGCGGATACCAGTCGTGGAAGGCATGTCGGAGCATCAATAGATGATAGCATGCATTACAGCGCCAAATCATGAAGAGGAGAGGTTTTTGAAGTTGAAGAAACTGATGCGGGGGCTGTAGAAGACAATTGGCCGATGAAACTCACGTGCAGCTTCCTCATGTCAGGTTGAGATAGAGAGGTGACAAATGTTGCGTAATCCAATCACATATGAGGATTTGCATCGAGATTGCCAGTTAGATGCCACATCATCTGTTTTGATGCCTGGAACCAATGTGATATTCTTGAGAACCGCCACTTTATACAAGGCTCGATATAATTTCGGTTCCTCCTTGAGCTTGCCCTAATGAATGAGATTCAGTAGCAAATTCTACAGCTACCAAGAAGCATTCAGTCTCATTATTGTAGACTATGCCGCAATTTCGTTATGATTGACGATGTAAAGGATACTGAAGACAAAGAAGAAGGCAATAATCCACACATTCGGCGGACGTACACCCTAAAGCAAGTATGCGAACTTGTCAATAGCGGCTGTGTGATGTTTTCTCTACAGCTCATGGGCCACCTCGGATCCAAAACGTCTATTTCTTTTCGATGTCTGGGCTACTGTGCGAGATTTGCGGAGCTGCATATGGTATGCAACTTCAACTCCACCACCACAACCTATGTGACAGTAGTCTCACATCCTCTAGGAAGCTGTCTCAGCAATCGTAGAGCGAACAGACCGTTGCAAACCAAGGCTGATCTAAAGATGGCAAATCTTTGGCTACAAGAGTGTTCGGGCACTCACAAAGAATGTGGGGAGACGACCGAGCCAGAGATGCCATCTAGACGCCATCAGGTATGATATAAGAGTCTAAGGGGGCGAAAGCCCGGCTCACGGAGCAACATTAAATTATGCTTATAGACTAATCACTAATACACAAGGGAGATTACCAGGTTTCATCCCGGCAGATGCATCCCTTCATTATATGCACCAGAATCTCCTGAGACAAGGTTTCTTTAGTAAGGAAGGTGGTTTGGATGAGAATAAATTCACCATAGTGTGAGATTGGCAAGACGACTGGAAATGGGGCCTCTGCGAAGCATTTTTGAGCAAAGGCCAATTTACTTCCACATTCCAAACGCTGACGTTATGCCCTATCACAAAGCATCTCTTGGCGGCGACAGATGTCTTCCGACATATCTAACGACCGATCCCTGTCATTTAGCTACCAACTTGTAAAATTACGGGGAAAATGAGCAACTAACCCGGCACGAAAATTCAGGCTCTGAGGATTGTATCTGCATAATTAGGCTTGATGATATAGATGGCTTTGCTTCAGTTCCTCTTGGACACTGCAGGTATGCCTGACTCATTTTTAAGGGCCAACCCCGCACTGAATCTAACGCTGAATGGGCGGACTGGTGTTTTCGAGAACATGGAAGAGGGAACGATAGTTTCTTACCAAGACTTACTATGGCTATTTCCCGACTCTGCTTATGGCAATACTCTATTATCATAGCCTCTTTTTATTGTGCTCATCTTTCGATATCTGACTTCATAAAGAAATATTCTTACTATTACCTCTATGTAGAAGCCTGCCATGTTAAAGCACGTGATTTCAATTGCCTCGATGCCATGTCGTAAACTTAATGAAAACGTGGTTAGGCATCCATCAAGCCCTTGTTCTCCACCCTAGCCGATTTTTTATTTTCAAGCCTCCGCCTTGTAAGACTACCCACATATGCGGGAAGCCTACCAAACCAGGCGAGAAACCATGACCGGGCTTCAAAGACTCGAAGTAGAAAAGATTCATAAATGTATAAAAGCAGCCCTTTCCTCGACATTCTCTTCCCGCTGGTTTCATTCCTTTTATAACAACGTTTACATTTTGAAGATAACCTGATTTGCCAGTGGCTATTACGACAAAACCTGCCATCAACATGGGTGTCGGACCACCACGTGTAGACAAGTACATGAGACTTCTCTCTCGACTCTTTGAGTTCCTTGCCCTCTTTCATATCCTCAAACGAGCCAATGGTCCCCATACCGTCTCGCAACCCCCTACAGACCTGCAAAGCACAAGACGAAGGTTTCTTTCAAGTTTGTGCTTTATTTGCGATTACCAAAAAGGCGGCAAAACAACAACTTCAATGGCTCTTGAGTTTCTGGACAACGGTGTTGTCGTATTTTGGATTGCATCCAACGTGTCGCCAAATGACCGCGTCCTCGCGTTTCTCTCTACTGTCCTAGAGACTTTACGAAGAGAACCAAACTCGACGGACACAGAAAGAGAAACACTAACAGCGATGTTAACAGCCAGATACATCGAATTTGCTGCCCCAAGATTGAGAAAAGAACGTGCAATCTTACATCGGTCTATACGTGTCTGTGAGACTTACTTAGCAGCCAATCTAGGCACTATTGAGACACCTGGTGAGACAGAAGTGATCGCAAAGAGACATTTAGCTGATAAGCAACTAGGAGTTACCGCTTTACTGGACTGGTTCACCCAATTCTCTGCTACAGCCGACCCTTTGATCCTGTGCCAGGCTGCTTACAATGCTCGCCACGATCCTCAGATGGTAACCCTAGAGGCTTTGCGACAGGAGCTGATAGTAGCTCCACAAGGAACAGCAGAGGCATTTCGCTCTGTCAAGCATCTCATTGGCCGTCTGGCTGAGAAGATTCGTATACCTATCAATCTCGTCAATGACTCCCGTCTACTGAGACCTCTTCTGGACTCCTACGAAATCAGAAGAGTAGAAGCCCCAGTTGCAGCGAAGATGCCTATGGCAGATGGCTTGAGAAATCTGGATTCTATACTCAGGAGAATGCTTCCAGCAGGCGATTCTCGCCTGAAAGACATGCAAGCGTATCTTGGGCAACTGGACAGCTCAATACGGCTTGAAGATGCGATCAGGGCTATGCATGACGACGATCAAACAAACCATGGTGTCCATGCAGAGATCCAAATGCTCGAGGACTTTCATCGCAATCGACGCAAATTTGTGGGTAATGATCGTTACATAGCCTGTAGCAAGCTTGCTTGCTTGTGCTGCAAATTTTACTTCAAATGGCATCCAGGCAAATTTATTGAGCCTGAATCTCACCAAAAGTCATATCTCACTTGGCGTCCTATCGATCTACCTGAGGGTGGGGACAGTCAACACTGGCTAGACCAGCGTCGGGTTTTGGCAAATGTTAGCAAAGAGCTGAGCAATCTTGTACAGGAGCAAATTATATCCCAACAACAACCAAATCCATGGCAGCCGGACTCGGTGACAAATATCACTGCGGCTATGCCATCTGTCTCACTTTCTGAAATTGGAGAAGCGCTTGAAAGCGGTGATGGAGAAAGTAACGGTTAGTTCACACAAAATCACCGTCACATTTGCATTCAAGTATATCCTAACGAAGAAAGCAGTCACAGATTCTGAATCACTGGCACATCTCAATGATGGCGAGACTGTTGGTAACACTGATGATGAGTCTGGAGATAGTGATGAGGAATCAGATGGAGGTGTAGGTTTGGCTGACTGACTTGACTGGGGAGGGTATCAACCAAAGCGGCTATCATGATTGCTGCCTCATACCCCGGATGAACTCGATCAGTGAAGGGGCTGTCTACTCAAGGCTGCTAATGATGAATCAATGGACGAGTGAGGCACATAGTTATCTTAATAGGCATTATTAAGGAAAGTTCGTAGCTAAAACCTCTGCTTTCTTCTTTTCCCCTCGTGGATTTCCTCGACATGTCTCTTGAGGTTGTCAGGCCTTGTGAAAGTCTCGTCACATTGTAGGCATGGAATGATCTTTTGCAAAGAATGACTATCATAATGCCGAATGATATCTTTCCTCCATGAAGCCCTGGCCTGACACCCCGGCCAGGAACAATGAAAAGGCTTTTCATGCGTTCTAAGATGATTACTTTCAATATTGATTAGCAAGAGCAAATTTGGGAACTTGTCGTGGCTTACTTCCTGTCGCGGTTTTTGTCAAAGATCTTTTGACAGGCCGCATTGTTGCAAAGGAACTTTCCATTCTCAATACACTCGTTCTTTTTCAAACGAGTAACAGGATACTCTTTGAACTTTTGATCATCCATAGTCTCCAAGCTTAGACTTTCACTCGCAGACGTGTCGTCGGGGGAATGGTGGGGATCAGATACAGTACTGCAAAATGAGTGTGTTTTTGTAGCTCCGGTTTCAACAAACGGAGGACAGGATGTATCAGAGACAGAATCACTTGTCTGGTTGTACGTGGGATCTCCGCTCTACAGAGTGAAGTCGAGATCCAGTGAACCAGAAAGCAACATATCCCCTAGACATACTTCGTCCTGGGTTTCAGGAAAGTTGAGCAGCGAATTCGAAGAACTTGCGATGACAAAGGAAGAGGTATCAGGGTAACTGAAAAGAAAATCGCCTTCTACCGTTGATGGTGAGAGATCAAGATTGTTGACGGCCTGGGGCATAGAGTCCATGGCCATGTCCAGACCAAACATGTCTAGATGATCCATGGAAGAAACAGGAGGAGCATTTTCAAGTGGCGAGTGTTCCAGATGGGGCCACTGATTCGGGTCATAAGAAGGCAGCATCATGGACGAGTCCGGGAACTGTGCCGGCGAGACTGAAATTTCGATAGATACAACGTCAGTCAAGTGGCTACTGTATCATAACTTGGGCTTTGTACTTACGATCGAGGAGATAGTCCGAGTCCACGAAATTTACTTCTGTGGACTCGTCCTCAATCTGAGTAAGGTTTTCGATGTTGTTCATCAACTAAGCTGCTGTGACGGTAAAGAGGAAGGATGTTGTTGGATAATCTTTGATCGGAATTCAATGACAGTCGATGGCTTTTGTATCTGGTTTTTCCTCATTTCTGCAGATAAGCATGTCTTACCCATGATCGAATCAGGGCTCTGAAGCAATTCATATTTACACTTTCAAACAGGACCCAAAACCGGCGACTGGCGAACATTGGCTTGGTGGGTCGCCCTTGCATTTCAGCTTGATCAAGATGGCCGCATTGTGAAATGTAATTAATGGTTTTGTGGTGGCTTGATTGGCTGCATTGGTTTGATGGGGAAAGCCATACGCTAGGGGAGGCCTACCGCTTTGTTGGCTACGTCCTATTGGGTAAGAAAGGGGGTTGGTTGCACCCAATTCGGGATCACGGGCGTTTGTCCAATTCTGTCATCCATATGGCCGCTGCTCTGTCCAGGATTTTAGAGGAAAGTTTTATGCTCAAGGTAGACTTCCTCAGCTTCTATGAGAGCATGGTCCTATACAGGAATAAATCAAAACATCCCGATGGTGCCTGTTCTACAGGCATTGGACCCGTGTTTTCATCGACATCGACATAGTCAATACTGGCTACTGGTTCTCGTATCCAAATTCACAAGGGACAACGGTAAAAAAGGATCAGATCTCACTTTGCCAACTGGTGTTAGGTAGTATGTAATCCACTTATAACGCAGCTACCAACTCACCGAGCTGACGAATCTGGTATGGTTATTGATCAGCGATAATAATTTCAAGACGCGGTGCTGTATCGTCACCAAGATCTCGATATTGCCCTCGGCGACTTTACTGTCCAGCTTGATTATCATTCTGTCTCTGCACTGAATACAATGACGGACTTGTGGCAAAATATCAAATGATCGGATGACGGCAGCCAGACTGATTAAGACGAACAATATTGCACCGTTGTCTGTTCTTCGAAATACGAGAAGAGAATCTTTCCAAGGATAATCATCTCAGCCTCAAAAAGCCCTGGCAATACATCATGATATATTATGCCTTTCTCTCATGCTCGTATAAATGTAGTATGGGCACTTTCCAGCCGCCAGGTCATATTAGTCTTCTGCAGCCTTCTATAGCGCCTGTACATCATATTTCCTGCCCGTCTCTTATGACATTCATTAAATATTAATCAAATATTTCTTAATGCTCCCCAGACTTGATTCTTGTATAGAGTTACCGCATTAGGCCTTTGTTTAAGGTGCTTCGTGGATCCCCGGGGGGCTTCTCGCATAGCCAGTAGGATATGTGCTGGGGTCTCCTGTTAGCTCAGCTTTGGTCTGAGAAGGTTCATGCTGTTGTTGTTGAGGAAGATCAGCAGGAAGTTCAGAAACTGGCCTATCTTTCTTCTCCCTCGTAAGCCTTCTCCAAGCCAGCCATCCAATGCCTCCAAAGATCAAAAGTCCACCGATAGCGGCACCAGCAGCCACACCTCCGGTCGCTGCCGAAGAGAGTCCAGCGCCTGACTTTGTTTCTGACGACGAATCGGTTTCATCGCTCGAGGTTGAATCCGTTGGTGCAGTATTGCTGTCACTAGATGAAATTGTCGATGTTTGCAGTGTAGATGCCTGCGTCGAGAATGGAAAGGTTTTGGACGGAGATGCTGGTGCGGTGACAGTTTTGTCTCTCTTCGGCGCGCTAACATTGACATATTGGGATTTGGCCAGTTGAGCTTCATCATCAGGCTCATATAAGCTGAAATAGTAAACAGAGTCCTCATCGCTGCTTAATGCATCTGCAATATCGTACTGAGCCTCCCAATAATCTTTTGTTACTGTATTGTGGAGTCAGTAAATCAATAGTGGAATAAGACTTTCATAGCGTACTTTCTAGCTGAGCACCAGCTTGGAAGTCGTCCAGAACTTGCCAAATCCAGAGTTGGGTGTTTTTCAAATTTGTCTCGTAGAGAATCGGAATCTTATCTCCTGTGCTGTAGTGTTGGTTGAGTAACATGTCTCCATCGGCATCTTGTTCTGAGTCCCACTCTGGAGGACGGGCGAATTTGGAGTAGCAAGACCCCAGGGCAGCGAGCAGAGTAAGCACTAGACCAATCATTGTCAGGAGAGTCATTGCATAAAATCCGGGTAGTTCTCTGCGCTGATTGCAATATGAATAGTTCTAGGAGCAATCTTGTTGCTGTTCAAGGCGGGCCCCTGCCTGGAAGTCGAATTCAATTGTATTGACCAGAGGGAATATTCTTCCCTTGCCCCCGACAAAAGAAGAACAGCTTTGCGTGTACCCGCAGCACATGGTCTCCATATATGGCTTTCGTGACTCGAAAGTCCGAGCCAACACTGGCATGGATGTTGAGATTAATCAGTATCGTCATCTCCATCGTCATGCAGTAGTAGCCCAGAAATGGGTTAGTTGCGGCCCAGCTGCCTACTTATTGATTGGGGTAAATTTAAATTTAACTGGACCAGTCTAAGGGGGAGGGAGACTTAACCAAGCAACTTATCACAAAGCTATCAAGCCATTTCACACTAGATAAAGCGTGCCCGGCTATTTCTTTATGGATCTTAAGTGGGAGAATCTTGTTTGGCTCACCAAAGGACCTGTTCCAAACCTGCCCCCTATTTCCTGCCTGGTGATATGTTTCCTGATTTGTCTAGCTGCATGCAAAAGTGGGACAACCACAACCAACAACACAACAACCAACAGCACTGAGCATGGTCATGAGACAAAGCAGTGAAACTTTGAGGTTCTGTACTTTTCTCAATCTGGAAGCTCTTGAAAAAGAGCTGATAGGCGAAGCAGATAACAAGGACTGATAGGCAAAGCAAATACGCCGAAAGTAACATCCAGAAAGGCATCGTTGCTCAAGACACATATGGACATCGACAGCCTGATCTTTTGATACAATTTTCAATCCTATTTTAGCTGAAGTAGAATGTGGGTTTCTTATTAGGCGAACTATTAAAAAGACATTAAAGGGCGAAAACTATCGACCACCTTTATTTGTAGAATATGTTAAATATTATATGCATCCACTTGATAGTTCATAATTACATTTATACTTATATAGATACATTCTCTCATCTCTTATCTTACACACAGACATGTCACTAGTTCACCTATGAGACTTGAAACTCTATCCTTCTTGCCAGTCTCAATATCTGCGATCAGTTCTTTGGCACCGCCCTGGTCAAAGCCAGTTTTCAAATCACTAGCTATGGACAGTACTACGATTTTATTTATATCTTAGATGGCCAGTATTGACTGGTACATCACATGAGACTCATTCTTTAGATATCTTCTGCCAAGGTTTACATGCATGTAATTATCTAGCCCCAATTTGTCATTGAGCTCCGAGACATCACGCCAGCAAATTGGCATATTTCTAAATCACTATCTCAAGGTAATTCAAAACCTGTATAGAAGTATAACCATCAGGCCCGAGTTCCGTTCTGAGATTCCGCAAAGCTCAGCATATGTATCTTCAACCTATCGACCAAACCGGCAAGCTTATTGCCAAACTCGGAAGCAGAACCATCCAGTATATTGGCATTGATGTGTTTGTCAACGAAATCGGCAAAGTATAAACGAGCCTTTCGTTCCACTTCCCGGTTCTGCCCTTGGGCTCGAATATTTGTTCATGAGAGGCAGTGTAGAGAAATAATCCAAGTCTTTCGTTTCGGTCCAATTGTATGTCATGGGCTCGCTTACTTGACAGGCCTTATCTGCAATGTACTTATTGAATGGAACCAGAATCTCTCGAAATCCATACTGACACCCCGCTTTATCAATTATCCGTGACTCTACCGTGGCTAATAGCCTAACCTTAATAACCGAATGCAGGCAGTTACTTAAGTCCTGGCCAGGAATTAGCTTTGGGGGGAGTTGTGGTTTTCCGATTGAAGCTGTGATACCATCTCTGAAGCATTGTATGTCCTATTGTGCTGGTAATGAAAGAAATGATGTAACAGGAATTCTCTTCCAAAGGAAAAGAGTTAAAGAGTCAGGCTTCGGGCTATTCAAAAGTTACCCCAAAACAGGAAGTATCCAACAAGGCAGAATTCTCGAGGCCCGCCTGGAGATATGGTAAGGCCCTGGTGTGCTTGGTCTGAGGTTTGTAAAGACTGATTCTTTATTCCTGACATTTACTTGAAGCCCAACATATCTTGGAAAGTTTTCCCTATGGAGGCCAGGTAGTCATGGCGCTTAGTTCGGCTTCCTTTGTTCTTCCTTGAGAGCAGCCCCTATCAGCTCGCTCCCCCCAAGCCCATCTTGTTTCTCTCTTTCAACGTTACAGTCTCCTATGAGTCTACCATGGCTGATCTTCCTGTCGCGCAAGATAACGCTCACCCGAGTGCTTTTCCAACAAGGCACGAATAAGTTTAATCCCATTACGCGTGTGCTCGTGATCGTAGTAATGCGTCTGCTTGAAGCCGTAGATTATACCGTCAACTCCAGCTGTACCAATGAGCTTCTCAGCCTGCCAGATTTGCCCAGTTGCAAGAGTCCACCCATAAACCTGACCATAATTGCGCGACTCGGTACCCTGGCGCAACTCTGTGCAGGTATAGAAGGATTCTTCGTGACAATCGCCGAATTGGAAGGGGAGGTTAAAGTAGCCATAGGACATAATACGGCGAGCTTTGCTTGGTGATCCGTAATCCTGAAAAGCTTTGGCTACATCAGCTGCCTTCCCATTGATGTTGAGGCCTTCACTGCCCTTCAAACCCGAGAGAATCCTCTTGTATGCCTTTCCTGAGACGGTCGCGCCATAAAATCCATATAGAATGCGTACGCCCACTGGCTCGAGGTACTTTCTTGCAAGATCGCGAAGTGCATCAATAGAGCAATGTTTCCAAGTGTTATCATCAGGGTCGCACCAATCGGGATTCTTGATGTCTAACCACACGAAGTTGATGGCCATACCCTCACCGCGAAGTTCAGCAATTGTCTGAAACATTTTCTCAGCTGTGTCTCCCGAACTTGAAGGCGATCCATCATGGTCTGCCCACCATCCTTTCTTCCAGGCGTACATATCAATCTCTAAAGCATTGGCACCATGAATAACAGCAGACCTGGCACCGTAGGACATCAAGACGCGATGCGCAATTGCATAAAACGGCTTGGCGTCTCCGAAGCTTTGCCTTGGGACGGGATCATCAGGGCCGCCGTCAAGAGGGCCCAGAGACTGAGTTGGAGTGAGACTGTTGGCCCCAGGGTCAAGAGGATACTGGGGCCGGGTAAGATCTTGGTTGATCATGTTTGGCCTAGCCTGAACATGGATGCTTAGAATGGGGACAAGTGCCACCATGAGAAATTTGCCGAGGTACTTTGTGATATGCATGGTAGCAAGATCAACTTTTGAATGATATGATATAGCAATGATAGTAGTAATTGTAGCAAGGAAGATATGGTGAGAGAAACAGTGGTAGGGTGAAGATGTTGCTGTAGACTAAGGAGCTCTTACTGCGGACAATGTGAGTTCTCCCCTCTTATAAGTAATTCTTTCTCTTCTCCGCAGAGCACCCTTGATGCAGAGAACCTGACATCTATACGCACGTGAAAGTCGCTTTTCATCCCTCGGCAAGCGACAAAGCGCCCACCCATGTCGTTGTAGATCCTCGTAATCGAGTACCACTTATGCAAACTCAGTCGGAAGGAGATAACTCGCACAAAAGTTCACTCAGGAATTGTGGCAGTAGCTGATCATACCAGATATGCTTAGAATAGTTTGCTCAATTGAGTAAGTTTGTTAGTGGCCTAATATAATCATCTGTATTAAGCTCAATGGCTTGCGCTCCTACTGTAGTCAGACGGATGCATTACTTACTCTGGGGCGGTTAGCTCTGGCGGTTCTGTAACCTTAAGACAATTGTAGAAACGATTCACATTCCTTACGACAGCTAGTTGACTTCAGGACTTGTTAGTACGTGGTTCGTAATGAGGGGGGAGTAGGCCAGTATCCAGTGCACTTAACCTTATTTTAAGCTCCGAAGACGTCTATTGAAGGTATTGTCTTGCCAGTATACTTGCCAGTCACGAAAAAGCAAGTAAGCCACCTAAAGCTTAGTTGATCTTACCAACTACAGTCCACAACTTACCCCCCGAGTTTAACTAGTTTGCTCCTAATCGATGCCATTGCAAGCTATTGGCTCTCACTTGGCGCCACAGATTCAACTGCATGGTTGGATCAAAGACATCATCATAATTGAGTGTGGTTGGGGTGACCAAAGCAATCCGGCTTATGCGTGAATCGACTCTCTTGATGTCAAAGTCTACCTCGGCGTGCTTCTTACTCGGCTCCCTAAACGCCGATAGCCATAGTCCAACCACGGCTTCTAACTCAGAACTGTCAGCCTTCCAAGGACAGTCCTTCTTGGAGCAGCTGAAACAGCTCCGCTTCCACTGCGCTTATAGAAATCTGGATCTATTACGTCAGAAATGGGCTGAGCTGAGAGGTGGACGAATTACAATCAGGCTGGCGGCAAACGCGGGCCTCTGGTGGAATAATGAGGTGGTGCGCCACCTGTCAGATTTCTGGCTCAAAATATGCTGTACTCAAGTCGGCTACCTCAAGTAAGATGATGTTCAATTTTATTTGGGTCTACTGGTATAATTATCATACCGTGCAAATACACGAATTTTGAGGTATATGACTGCGTGACGTCGATAAGTTTCAAACACCGTGACTTCATGACCCGGCCTGGCCTCTGACATGGAAATAACTCGCCAGTCTATTCGTATAGTAGCATAAAATGGTCCTCAAACGACAGTCAACCTAGTGTAACGAAAGCACGCAGGAACCTTCAGGCGCTTAGCCGCCGCAAAGACAATCTGAATCGTCGCATTCACACTAATCAGTCAGTAAGATTCGCAAAAGCAATAAAGAAGCGCTTACCAATTGTTCAGCTGTCCACGTAGCACAATCCCAGTCACAATACCATCTCCTCTTTGTCGCCCCTCCTTTGAACTCCCAGTCAATCCAAACACCTCCATCACTGCCGTGAAACCCCCCTTCGCAATCATTATACCCGCACTGCGACCTGGTTAGCAGGTCATGAGCGTATCGCTGCAGAGTTCGCTATGCTTACTCCTCTTTCTTCTCCCCACTGTTAGTTTACAGAAACCATCAGGTTAGTATTGATCAATTACTCGCTGATGGTGGATGCTAACTTACGGCAGGTGGAACGTAGTCGCAGCCGCAACGGACCCAGCCTTTATGCTTTGGGTATCCATCATCCCAAGCTGTGGCTTCCATTGTCAATGAGCTTTTGAAAAGCCTCAAGTCTCTGATTGTATAATCGAAGAAAGAGAAAAAAGAAACATTCTCTGAGAGATATTGATCCGCCTAAATACTGGTCTACCTACGCAATCGTTGTCGCTGTTGACGTCCTTGAGTTGTGCAATCTGGCCTTGGCGTTTTGAGGCTGAGATGCCATATGCAATTTACATTGCATATTCACCACCCCTACAATTCTGGCATCCAATCAGTTATTACGAGGAACTAACCGTGATGTATGCACGTCAGCTGAGTGGAGAGAAGGCTGATATCGAGACTTTGTATTGGCTTCATTTCTGGAGGCAAAGCGCTTACGAGCCTCCGAGGCCTCCTATTAGCTGAGTTAGCGCTGATACATGCTCCCACTTGGCCACGGTTATTGGTCTTAGTTGCGCTTAACTAATTCTACTCCTAGCCTGAATCGAAATGTTAGGTATGTTCATAAGCAGGGTCTTTCGCACTCTAGCGTTTGTTTCTTCATAGAGAATTAAAACACTGGCCAGCATGACTAACCATGCGAATCCGATTCAAACCTGCGAATGGAGATGCCTCAAATGCCGATCCATTCCATGGAATTGTGAAGAGTGGGTTCTAAATCGTAGCAAAGCGGTCTTGGAGCGCGACACGTCGCTTCACCTTAATCACTACGACTCCTCGGTTGATTTGGAGGAATCGGCTGCCGCTGGATGTGGTCTCTGCATCAATCTGAGAGCCCGAGTCCTCCACTGGTTACCAAACCTGGACGAGCTACCCAGTGGTCTGTGCAAGCTCTGGTTCTTTAGAGGAAAAGAGCTTTTCTTCCAGATTGGTGACGACTATCGTCAAGAGTTCTTCCAAGACTTGGCTTGGTCAAAATCGGCTACATGGCTTCAAGAGTGGGATGGCACGCCTGGACCCGCGCCCTCACCAAGGTGTATGAAATGCCAATCACAATTAGGTCGATTCTGGCTGATGAAATGGATATTTAGCCTTCTCGCCAGAAACGGTAAACGAGGATGTGAAAAACCTCGTACAGGACTCGATAAAACCATGGTTCAACGACTGTATCAACGGTAATCGAATTCATCGCAAATGCAAGCAAGGGTTCAAAATGGACAGAATAGGTGCCATGCCCAAGCGGTTGATCGACGTCGGAGATGATCAAGGTCCAAATGCTAGGCTCATCATATCGTCCGAGGAATTCGGTCAAATTCCTTCTCAAGCCGACCAGATCAAGTACTTGATACTCAGCTATTGCTGGGGCACTGGCAATGATCCAGCAAAGACAACTCGGGCGAATCTCTCAGCTCGCCTGAAGCACATCGATGAAAAAGTGTTACCAAAGACCATACAAGACACCATCAAGCTCACCCGGCTTCTCGGGTTTCGATATCTTTGGGTTGACGCCCTCTGCATTGTACAATCTCACCCTGGAGACAACTACCAAGACGACTTCAAAGCTGAAGCGCCCAAGATGGGCGCGTACTATACCAACGCGGTATGCCTGATCTCGGCGCTCGGCGCCTCGGACAGCAGCACGGGATTATTTGCTCCCCGTCCAGCACATCGATATCCCACTACCAGCTGTGTTATCAGCTTCGACAAACGCACCAATGAATATGTTCACCTCCCCGCACCACGGAGAGCTCTGGTCGATGAATTCGACGCGGCGCCGCTTCTCAAACGAGGTTGGTGTTTTCAAGAACGACTCCTAGCTCGTCGAACCCTCCACTGGTCTAGAAACGGCGTGTTCTGGATCTGTGTCGGCGATAAGGCAGCCAGGTCCGAGTTCTCTAGCCGATGTGACACTTTTTCAACTGATCCCAGAATTTCTAACTCGGGCATTTTCCACGGCATTTCCGTTCCGGGGGAATTAAAACAGCCCTGGAGTCCATGGATGCATTACGTACAAGAGTATAGTTCTAAAGGCCTCTCATTCGCGACAGATCGTCTCGTCGCTGTCCATGGACTTGGAACCCGGCTTGCAACCCTAGGCGGGGATGAGTACTTTGGTGGGATATTCGGCAGCCATATTTCTTGGGGGCTGATGTGGCAGGCTGATCCAGAAGACGACGCCCGGAAGAAGTTGGATTGCTTCCCAAGCTGGTCGTGGGCATCTTGCCAATCTGATCGCGGCGTTACTATTGCTGACCAGTCTAAACCTTGGGTGGAGTGCGTTAGGTTGGAAGGGTTCCCAGCTTTCCAAAACCCTCTCGACTTTCAAGGTCTTGAAAAGAGGGCGCTCCATGTTAATGCTCCGCTTCTGAAATTCGAGCCTTGCCAGTATCGGCGAGATAGCAACATCTCGTACGAGTTTGAAACCGCAGGGGTACGGTTCAGCGCCTTTTTCACTTATGATGCACCGGAACTGGAACCGACTGATCATAGTGATCTTTTTATTCTCCTCATTCTTCTCGGAAGTGATCAGAAGGGTATCTTACTTCGTGCCAAAGGGAGTATGTATGAGCGTGTCGGCTATACTTCACTTTTTTACATGGCTGGATTCAAGGGATTTCAAGAACTGAGCTTTTGGGATAACTTCCAGGTCAGTGTAGAGATTGTATGATTGTCTATTATTTAGTTCTACCCACTTGGAACGTTTTACAGATACGCATCTATTCAATGAAGCCTGGTTTTCTATAGGCAACTTCCTGAGTGTTGTAACCAGGCACATAATGTGGTCCGCCACTACAATCTCACTAACTACAGTCCATCACGCTCTATCCAGCTCATTCCAGGCCTCGCCAGTCAGCACTATCAATTTTCCCAAACATCTCGATACCGTATTCGCTGCAATTAATAATCCATTATGACATACCACTGAAGTCATCGTTGAGGAGACCACCACGACTGCTGCTGCTGAGGAGTCATCCACTACGTAAATAATTGCCAAAGAACCATTCATATGGATATGACCCAGTCTGTGCATGTTATGGTGCAAATGGAGATTTCCTTTCCGTGCCTTCCCGCTTGATGACATCGCGTACGATACTGTCAATACATTTTCTCGACAAGGCTGACACCCTCTGCGTCGACCTAGACTGGGATGGCATTGCAGATTTCGCTGGAGTAGGTTACCCAAACACCAGGGTTGTTCAGAGGGGAGAATTTATTGAGAAAAATACCCGCGTGCCAATCCCGCATGTTACCCCGACCGACATGGGCCAAAGGGTGCCGACGACTTACCTTTCCATCTTTGTCGTGAATTCTCCGATGGTGATGATAGCGTAGAGGTGATCGATGATTGGATCCATGCCAACTTTGTTCAAGACGATAATTCCAGCCTCCTTTGCTGCCTCTCTCAGCTCTTGCATAGCGGGAGACATATCATTCCTAGTAACGAAATAGGAATTCCCCAATCGCAAAGCGAATAATGCCGGCATAGTAGGTAAATGTGACGAGCAAGATGACGAGGTGGTGTCCAGCGATGTAGCGGTCGAGCTTAGAGGACGTAACATCAAGAGTGGTGGCTTTTGCGCGGTGTCGTGCAGCCACTGCTGTCTCGGCCATGGAGAGTGTACGATAGGCTGGATCACAGGCAGTCAGTACGACGAAGCTCAGTAAGAGGCTATATGTTGACTAAATGCGAGGACGTTAGCGTCGCCCCGAAGCAGGTAGTCGGGGCATGGCTTCACAACTATGCCGTTGTCAGGGACTAGGGTCTGGTTCTCGGCTATATTGGTTTTGGGTCTGGTATGGATCAAAGGACGAAAAAGAAGGGGGAAGCACACGGAAGATTTTTGAACAAGGGAGGGAAAGAAATTTACCGAGACCTTCGTTTGCAAAAAGGGCTTTCATTGGTGTCTGCCTGCGGCTGTGCACGCCTTGACTGAGCGTGTGACAAAACGGCGCCTCCATGGCTGGATAAATACGTGCCGGGTTTCTTCTGGATACATTCATACGTCGATGTAGTATCTCATCTAGTAATCTAAGGAGGTCATGACTTACACCTGGAACCTCCTTAGACAGAATCTTACAGGGCCTCTTGGAACCAGATTGTGAGGATCTTGAGAGATGGTTGATTTGGCCATGGACAGAGATATGTCTAGAGGAAAAAGGGACAGGCAAGCCCGGTTGATAGAAATATTAGACGGGACAACGAATGAGGAAGTGTAGCTCCAAGGTTATGACTCTGGAACTAAAGGGCATCTCTTAATGCTTCATCCTAACGACCTCTCGGTATCCCACAGCCCCAATTGACTTTCTGGTATTGCCTCTTGATAACTAGGGAGCTGCATTGCTCAGTGGTACTGCTTGCATTTGCACGTAGAAAAGAACTTCCCACTTTTCCACAAGCCACTTGCTTTGTCCTTTTCTGAGATATTGGAATATTTTGAAGCCTCCCCCTTATGAGACTAAGTAGTTCGTTTCATATTTATTAACAGTATCTTGAACTATTTCTATGGCTGAGATAAGCTGGCGTATCAAATCTGGGGTAACTAGCATCTGACAATGCTAGCTCTGACACTTAATTGTATAACTAATTTCCGAAGACATTCGGGCCGATAATAGACTATAGAGTATTGTTTCTAGGACTGAAACGGACCGAAAGTTGACTCCGGAATAGCTGGCAGTCGAGAGTCCCAGGGCTGAGACAATGTTCATAAATACATTGACCGTGTGGGTCCGGGCCGACTACAAGTCTTAGACACCGTCCTCCCTCGAATAAAGAGGTACTTTAGATTTCCTTGGCCTTTACTATACATGTTAGAAGTATTTTGAGGAAGATAACAGTAGGAATTGGGCTTACCTCTGCATTTCTGTTAATGAGACAGGCAAGTTATGTTTGTCTTGAAAATATTAATCAGTAAGTTGCCTTGGTGCTACCCCTTATTTGAGGAAATTAAAATTGTTTTTTCTAATGTACCTATATAAGGAACTTGTTCCTCATCAAACACGGAAAGCTTCAACCTTCATCCAGCAATCTTTATCCAACCCTTCTTCTAGTCACCAGTAAGTCACTCTGGTCCCTTTATATATGCTTTCTAGACAAAGCTCGACAGAAATAAGTATTTTGAGCTAATACATTAAAGTAGTTGAAACAAATTGCTCGTCAGTTATCCAATCACTTACCCGGGTCGCATTGCACGAAGGCGCACTGACACTATATAGACCATGAAGCTCACGATTCTTGCCCTTACGCTTGTTGCTGGCATTGCAATGGCAAACGATACTGTGTCAATGAATCCAGCTGATGAAAAGAGGTGTCGAGAGCGCCAGGTCTTTGGTGGGAGCCCATGCTGTACTTATTCCGACTGCCAAGGTTGCGGTTTTCAACAGCGTTGCTGTCTTAGGTACAGCTCGGAGCCTCGTGATGCAAAGGGGCAGTGCATGTGTGGAGTGAACAAGTTCCCTCAGGGCACCTGCTTCTGATTGAGAGGGACGGACCTGAGTTCGGCATCAAGCTGACTCATCCTTCGTCCATTATTGGTTGAGAGAAGCTGCTACGTGGTTTTTGCCGGGTTCTGGCATACAATATAGAGGGATTTTTTGCCCCAAGGTTTTCCCCAATTTTCTATTACCAGTGATACATGCCAGACTCCTTTGAGCTTCAGGAGCGTTCATTTAATGTAAAAACAGGTACCCTGACCCTACTTTGACAGAAATTGATTCAAGTTGGCCTGATATGCCGCCGAGTTGCTTACGTATTAGGGCATATTAGTTTTGGGTTGCGTAGTCCTTATTGTGGCCGTAGAAGTCATCTAACCAGAAAATCTATATTAGTTTATTCTAGTGTCTTTCTAGTCAGATTTGTCCCTTAATTGTTGTATTAACATGCTTTAGGCTCTAGCAACCTTAAGTTATGTAAGGTTCCCCCTAGAAGTGACTAACCTGTATTTAATGTTATCTAGCTGGCAAAAAGGTTCCTCCAATACTGCTACCCTTTTGGTGATAGTGTACTTTATTGCAATTTAGGATTTAATATACCAATTTTAGCACTTATCCTCTAATGCTAAGTAATACTAAAGTTCTTAATAAAGGCAGTTTATTTATATAAAACTTATATAAAATTGGTAGTATAAATAGGCTAGTCTAGCACTAAAGTATAATATATATTTATAAATATTATTAATAAGAGATAGACTTTAAGTAATTATATAGTTAACTTATACCTTAAAGTTTATTAGAGAATATTACTACAAGGAAGCGCTAGCATTACTATAGCATCTAGTTCAGGATGTCAGATAGGCGCCAGGAGATACTGCAATTTGAGGTTACACAGCCGGACGCGAAGCTGCGCGTGTCACGTGTGGCGAGGCCATCGCGATCCTTTTTCCCCCTCCTCACTGCTGAGAATTTCTTTTCAAACCATCACACAAGAGTCTCACGTTTTGTGCCTACAACCGCCCACCGTCTGTCGACACAATATGGCGCCAGTCAGCTTGTTTGACTGCCCAGACGAGGTAGTCGACAGCATCATCAAGCTCCTCCCAGGAAACGCCATAAAAGCCTCACGACTGACCTCCAAGCGACTTAACCGCATCGCATCGCGTTACCTATTCCCGGTCTTGTATATTTCTTGTCACCAGCTGGATCTCGATGTCTTTCGCATGGTCTCCAAGAACCCTCTTCTCATCGGCGGTGTACGTGAGCTGGTTATCGATGATACCACTGTTCCGCCGTCGGTCCGCGACTGGCCAACGTACCAGAAGGTGGTCACCTTCCCAGAGGATGCAGATGACCGACGCCACCATTTGGAACTTGACGAAGGCGAGACCCTTGACCCTGATTTTATGAACCGGGAGCCTTCCAAGGTCAAACCCTGTGAAGAGGCCTGGGAGCTCTTCAGCAGCACCGCCCAAGGTCATCATGAGAACCGCCTGGCCCACGCAGATTTCGACGCGCTCAAGAAAGCACTTCCAGGACTGAAGAATCTCAAGACCCTCGTGCTTACCAACCGCATGGCAGACGACCGGTTCTCGGAAGGCGCTCAAAGCAGCGTCTCATCGAGCCCCGTGGTCAAGGTGTGGAGGCGCTTCGAAAGAGAGGGATATTTGCCTTTGGTCCCGAGGTGTGATTGGCATCCGACCACCCAAGGCCTCCAGGACAGGTCACCAGTCAACACTATGGACTGGCTCGATGACCGACTGGTGATGGATATCACGAAAAATAGCGTCTCAAACATGACTGCAGTTCAGTCTACGTATGACCTCTACCTTGAGCAGCAAGACGATGTAAGTCTATCTTTGATCCCCCTCTGCCACTGTCGCTGATTTATAGCAGAGCGAGGATGAGTTGGATGACTAGGAAGCATTCAAACAAGGCCGCGCCGAATTCCTGTTTGATTGTGACAGCTCCGAACTTCTCGTCTTGGCACGCGAGGCGCGGGCGATCTTTCTCGCGCTCCTCGTTCTCGAAGATCCCAAGCTTCAGTCTCAACTGACTGAGTTCCGAGTCGATGCGACTTACGACATACAGTCCCGAGGGCATCAACCCGGCCTGGCCATCACGCTCTTCGACCGACAGTCCCCATTCGCCGCACGACTTGGAAGCGGATTTTCTGCAGCAACAAACATCACCAAGCTCGACCTTACGCTTAGCAACTTGCCGTACGGTACCGTTGGCGACGTGATTGTGGAGGAAGGCAGAGTCCGCCGCATCTTTGAATCTATGATCCACCTAGAGGAATTGTACCTGGAGCCACATGGAATGTCCATCTTTTCCATTCTTCCTACTGAGGTGACATTCGCTCGCCTGCGATCTGTTCAGTTCAGCTGCGGGCACTTGCACCCCCAGATGTTCCTCGACTTCGTCCGACGTCACGGCCTCACGTTAAAAACCCTTATCATCGAGCACTGCAGCCTCAGGCCCTATGATTCAGAGCTACCGTGGTGGAAGATTACCGATGATTTGACCGAGTTCCACGACCAAGCCATCTTACAGCTGGAGGCAGGGTCCTTTGACAACGTGTTCCATGGTGGGCCTATTACTGACTGCGGAAGGAATGAGACACTGCAGGATCTCGGGCAGATCTGGAAGTATGATGAGGACGAGAGCGGAAAATGGGTTCGCTGGCTGAATGCGCAGGAAGAGGCAGTCAATGAGATGCTGCTGAGTGGTGCTTTCGGCCCTGATCCGTGAGGGAACAGTTTGCGATGATTCGGCAGCTATGGTGATTCTACTGTTTGTGTAGCGACGAGCTCAGGTTGTAATCCTAAAGCTTAGATGAGATTCTATGATGTTTTCATAGGTTAGACTTATTTGTCAAGGTTGTAAAAAACTTAGATCACAACCATAAGCCTTACCTAAGTTTATGTCACAGATTCATGTCACGTTATCTTCCACAACTGTAGAGAGGCAGCCCACATCGTGAGGTTACACAAAAGCATTGCGGTTGCCAGTGGCAGTGACAGTGCCAGATTCACTTGTCTAAGGCATCCAGGCAGCCACATCTGCCTACCACATCGGCCGCTTCATCCTCATCCTCATCCTTATCCTCATCTCCTCTTTCATACCAACCAAGTCTCCATCCTCGCCGCATCTCGCAAGCATGGACTCCTGTCATATTCTCAGATTACCCGACGAGTTGCAAGTTGCTGTGATTGAGCTTCTTCCCGGCGACGCACTCAAAGCTACCCGCGCAACTTGCCGAAAGCTTAACAGCATCGCATCACCCTACCTCTACCCTGTGCTATACCTCTCATGCCACCAGCTCGATCTCGATGTCTTCCGACTTGTCGCAAACAACCCCCTCCTTATTGGTGGCGTCAAAGAACTCGTGGTCGATGATACCACCTTGTCTCCTCGTCTCGCCAACTGGGAGGTCTACAAGACTGTAGCCTCGTACCCCGAAAACTGGCCTGACCGCAAGATGTCGTATTGCTGGGGAGATGAATTCGAAAACGAGGATCGAGTCTGGTCTACCGAACCAGACAAAGACTTCCACGCTCTCTACAAGTCTGTTCTCCGAGGCCATCACACGAACCGCCGAAGACATGCCGACATCAATGCCCTCACACGAGCCCTACCTCTCTTCAAATCACTGCGAAGCGTCGTAATCAGCAACCGCACGGCCGATGATTGTGAGGGTATTTTCGAAGGCGCACAGAGTGAAGAGTCGAGCAGCCCAGTTGTCAAGATGTGGAGGCGCCTTGGAGACTCCAAGCAAGAGCGACCTCCTTTCCCACCCAGATGCGATTGGTTAACCCCATGGAACGAGCATAGCCCCAGTGTCAGGGCGGAAATGATGCAGCCGGATTGGTATCATGACAGATTGGACATTCTGATCAACCGATATGGTCTACCAGCTCCCAAGGGTCAAGTCCATCTGATAGACAACCGAGACGGCCGATACCCAGCGGTAAGTCAATATGGTGCGCCAAAAGAAACGTCCAAAGTGAAGTGTAGGTTTTCTTTTGGCCTTCAGTGCAGACTCACGCGTCAGACGGATGCGAACATCTTGGAAGCCATTTCCCTCATGTCGCGCCAATCACTAACAAAGTTTCAGACAGGAAATCGCATGAATTATCAGAGAGTACATGCCGAATCATTCGATTGGTCTGACCTCAATTGGCTGGAACCAGGTTATTACTGTCGAACAATCGGGCGACAAGCTCGGGCTGTATCTGTCGCCCTCGAGGTCCTCGGGGACCCGCGTATACGACTCACTGAATTCCGGGTTGATGCCTCTCTGCAGGTCGTTGACCCTCTTGATGAGAACGAACCTTTATGCCTGCCGGGTCTCTCAGTTCTGCTCTTCGACAGTAACTCCTCGCCGCTTGTGCCGAAGCTGACATCATCTTTCTCCAACCTGACCAAGTTTCATCTTGTCCTGAGTGACCATAAAGAGAACGAGGATGATTTCGATAGTGATGAGGCAATGCGAATACTGGACCAGGGTCACGTCGCCACTATTCTTAAATCTATGCCTCAACTAGAGGATCTTCTCCTCGAGCTACATGGCGTGCCGATATTTTTTGCGATGCCACCTATCAAATTCAGCCGACTTCGAAGTGTCGAGTTCAGCTGCAGCGAGCTGAGTTCTAAGCTCCTCCTCAGCTTTCTCCTATATCACTCCCTGACCCTCAAGACCCTCATTATCCGATACTGTTCTATAGATCCAGACATATGTGATGAGACGTGGGTGGAGATTATGGAAGAGATCCGCGACATGCAAGATGAAGGAATTCTGAACATTGACGATGGGCAGGTCATCGGTGCCTATGACCATGCGCCCTGCCGGGGCTGCGGAAGAACAATACCCTCGAGCCGGAAAACGAGGGTTGTCCGATTCACAGCTGGGAGTTTATTGAGTGTTCACTCTGGAGACAGGTTGATGGCTATCCTTGGGATTTCGAGGATGACGAAGGGTCATATGTTGGTTGGGGCTATTGGGATACAGAAAGCGAAGGTGGCGAAATTGAAAAGGATGGCGGAGGCGAGCATGAAAGCTCCAGGATCTGATGCAAAACGTCACTGTCAACTCATCAAAGGTCCTTCTAAACTCATCCCAAACTCGTCAAATAGTCTCCTAAGTTTATGGCAACGGAGCTAAGCCTGTCATCCCTTAGGATGGAGACACCTATCAAATGTATGAAAATGTTGTAGACAAGTTCACCATGTCACCAAAGTCTTTAGACTGGTCAGTTTTGTAACGTGGTTTAACTTCATAGTTCTCCTGACTTTCTGAAACCTCCTCTCAGAACAATCTTGTCTTAGTGAAATAAAGTATAAAATGGCAGGACAAACAAGAGGTCGACATTCGTAACGTGTTTATCGAGTTGTGTAGCTGTGTGCGCATGAGTATCTTGAGACATCTCAGATCGTACGAGCGTTGGGAAACGCCAGGTCTCAGGGCGGGTAAAAAGGTGAACTGATTCAAGAACCCATCAACATTTTCATAGAGTTCTCCGAGGTATCCTAGCACTGTTTAAGTCTTTGATCAGCTGAAGATTTTATTTACTTGTCTCCTGTCAGCTTTTTGGCCAAGGACTGGTGAAGTCAAAGACAGTTTGGTGAATAGTGAACATTTAATGTGAGTCGATTGTTCTTTGTTCTGGTTTCGGGTGTTGATTGCAGTACGTTCACTATCCTACAGGCAACAAGCATTGTGTTCGGTGACTTACTACTAGTCTTTGTTGCCAAGAACATCGAAATATGTGACTGTCAAACACCCGGTATATAATGAACCAGAATATCTCTCAACGCTCTTCTTACTTCATCCCATCAAACACTTATATCTTGCATCTTGCATCTTGCAACACAACAACAACCAACTTTCACAACTCAACAATCAACGCACACAACACAACACTCTATAGAGAAGTATCATCTACCAACATCAAAATGCCTTCTCTCTTGTCAACCCTCAGCATCCTAGCTCTCACAGCTACCCAAGTCTCCTCCCACGTCATCATGGTTGAACCCCACCCCTTCAACCTCGACACCGAACCCCTCTACCAAACCTGGCCTCTCAGCGAAGATCTCCCCTTCCCCTGTCAAGGCCGCACCCAGCACCCCGAGCAAGTCACAAAGGTAACAGCCGGCACAACCCAGCTCGTCAAGTTCTGGGGCAGCGCCGTCCACGGCGGCGGATCATGCCAGTTCAGCGTCGCCTACGGAAAGGAACCCCCCAAGGACCCTAAGAAGTGGCACACCATCTACAGCATCATCGGCGGTTGTCCCGCTGAGGCAGAGGGTAACATCGCTTCTACCGGGACGGATCCGCATGGCCGGGAGAACGGTAAGGAGTGTGGGAATAATACAGGCAAGGAGTGTACTAAGCAGTTCAACATTCCTATTCCTAAGGATATGCAGAATGGGCCGGCGACGTTTGCTTGGACTTGGTTCAACAAGATCGGTAATCGCGAGATGTACATGGTCTGTTCTCCTATTGAAGTAGTAGGCGGAAAGGATGATAGTAGCTACGTTGATACGCTACCTGCTATCTTCCGAGCTAACATTCCTGGGGAGTGTACCACTGGTGCTAGTGGAAGTGTCATCAACTTCCCTGAGCCTGGCGACTTCGGTAAGATTTACGAGCAGGGTACACCTGGAAGTGAGGGTACTTGTGCCAAGGGTGTTGAGCCCAACTTCAAGGATGATACTGCTGCTCCTGGGCCAGAGAAGCCAGCTGAGTCTGGTTCCCCTGCTCCCGCTCAACCTAGTGCTCCCGCTCCGGCGCCTGAACAGCCTTCTGCTCCTGTAGAGGGTGCTCCCGCTGCCCCTTCGGCTCCTGTTCAGCCTAGCGTCCCTGCACCCGCTCCCGAACAACCCTCTGCCCCTGTACCTGCACCTGAACAGCCCTCAGCCCCCGCTCAACCTTCAGCTCCTGCATCTCCCTCTAGCATGGTCACCATGCCCAGCACTCCCGCTCAGCCCACCGATTCTCCCGCCCCAATCGACTCAGCCAAGCCCGAAGCCGGAGCTCCAGCTTGGTCTGGTGAGTTCCAGGCCTGTCCCTCTGATGTCAAGTCTGGCATGATGCACTGTTTCTCTGAGACTTCTTGGGGTATCTGTAATGGAGGCTGGGCTTTTGTGTCCAAGGTCGCTGAGGGTACTAAGTGCATTGACGGTGCTATCGCTGCTGAGTAATTTTGATGTTTGCGATTGATTTCTTGATTTTACTTTAGGTTTTTTGTAAACAGGTTTTGGGAATTTGCTTGAGTCGTGGTTTAGTGATTATTTGTCTAGAAAAGATGAAATATAAAATGATTTTTGGGGTATCCAAGCTCTTACCATTGTGACAATATGTATAGGTCTTTTCCGTTTTAATTAGCGTCGATTCATCTAGCAACTTCTTCGGCACTCATATTCAACGGTCCTACGCCGGCTCTATGTATTACCCTTCACCATACTATGCAGCTTGTCCGCCAGATTTGTCATTTGTCACTCATCTGATTCCTGAACATCCAACAAACATAAATACGGTTTGTTCTTTAGTAATTCATATCTGCTCTCGATTGCTAACTCAAACGCCAAGTAACTCAAGAATCCCATGGTCAATGATACAAGCAGAGTATCTTTCCGCCATAGCAAACACCACCTCATCCGGCTGCATAGTCTGAGGCGTTATCGCCCAAAGGAATCCCTGCAAACTGTATCGCCGATAATCATCCCATAGATCCTCCCTTGTCAACTTCGGTCCTCCCTCGTTATTCAAAGCCTCCAAATATGTATCAACAAGACTTGCTTCGTGCTTCCGTCTATCCTCAACCATCAAAGCACCCGTGAGGAAATAAACCAAGTCAAGAACCGACGGTCCATACTGCAGGCCCTGCCAATCGATGAACCCAGGAGTCCCGTCATTCGCAATCAGGGTATTACCGACATGGTCGTCACCATGAATCAGCGAGTAATACTTTTGATCCGCATCGCCGTGTTTCCACAGAGCTTGGAAAGCCTGGCGTATACGATCAGGATCTAGCAATTCCTTCGCTACAGGCGGCCGAACCTTTTCATCGAAGCGTGCTCCCCATGGTGCAGGCGCCAACAGCGCAAGGATAATGCTTCGAACAGGGTTCTCCAGCTTTGATCCGTCTTTGCCAAAGAGCCAGGGATATTCCTCCTCCTTGGTATTCCATGTCTTTGCGTGCAGACTAGCGAGTTGCTTCAATGCTTCGCCGACTCGCTCAGGTGCCCAGGGCTCCAATGGTGTGCCAAAGGTAGCTTCGCTTGATACATCTGACATTATGAATATGCCTTGGCCGTTGACGGTATCTGTGCCAGCGAACCAGATCCTTGGGAGAAGCATCGTTGTCTGCGGAGCGACATGATAGTGAAACTCAGCCTCACGGCGGTAAGTCGGTAACATCTGAGGAACCGTCTCGCGAATCACTGGATTGAATCCTCCCTTGAGCACAACCCTACTAGGAATCTCAGTCTTGACACCATCACCAAAGACGAGGTCCACAAAGACTCTGGACGAGGTGCCGTGTATAACAGAACTGATCTTAAAGTCCTTCACAGCAACGCCAAGAGCTTCCGATAGCCACTCAGAAGTAACCTCGTCCGGGGTTAACGGCAGCGGCCTTTCGCTGTTGAGATTACACCTCGGGGCTTTAGATCCCGTGACAAGGGAGTTGAATATCATGATCTATGTTTGGAGTGAGGAGACAGGGAGAATGTATGGTGTTGCTTTTTTTGTTGCACCAGCCAGTAACGTAGGTTATATGCCCTTGTCGGGCCCTCATACAACCCGCTTTGAGCAAGCTTATCTGCAGGGCAATAACTCGCTTATAAATGATGGTATCAACTCCTTGCCAAGTAGATTTCCCGTCCAGTGAGAGACATGGTCTGTTGTAACTCGTATGTCAGACAATTGTTGGTTCACCCTTGTAAGATGCGGCTGGGAGTTACATCCGCCAGCTCCTCAATGGAGTATGTTTCATCGCCCGAGGTATTAAGTTCACGCTAAATCCTTTGTCGTCAGCTCAGGAAATCAAGTCATGCGATTTTCTGCATTTCTCTTTCGTTGACTGGCTTTTGGGAAGGTCAGGTCATTAACACCGATTGAGCTATTTGCTTCACAAGACTTGACCTAAGTGACTACCTACACCTAGCTTCTAAGGAATTCTCGAAATACCTCCAGCGACAGCCATGTATCTGGTAATTGACCTGAATCTCCTCCCCAGTAGAGTTGGCCCGCGGGAATAGATTGGGTTGGCCCGGAGGGTATTAGGCTCAACGGTGGCCAGATCCCGTTATTGATCGCCAGTGAACTAACTCCATGCAGAGTACAGCTCGCTAGGGCTGATGCATGATACCAGTAATGCAACAGCTGATCCAGGAGTCACTCATCCCCAACATGTCCATTCTAATGCCGATATATCCTTAAGAAATTGCCCCCTGATTGGTGTTGGCTTGGCACTGACGACCATGCATCCATGGACTTGACTCGCGTGAGGACCTTGAATCTTTGTATGGGCTTGGCTTTACGAAAAATCCTTACAATGCAACATTCAACCCAGCTGAGGTGAATGCCTCGACCAGCTTTAATGTGACTTCCCTCCCATTTCTCTCAATGCACTCTACCCTGAGTTCGAGTCTTCAGCATCATGGCTACTCTCGATCCTGGGGCCAACATCTACAATACGTCAGTTGTGCCGCCGCCAATCGGCCAGGAGTCCAATTTTGACAGACCTCTCTCGGACGTGCAACTCGCGACAATCACGGTCTTTGCAGTCACGTACTTCCTCGCCACGGTCTCCCTCGCTCTTCGATATGCCACAAGCGTACTGGTCGTCAAGGAATGGGAACTTGATGTCGTTCTCATCACGCTTGCATGGGGCGCCGCGCTGGGATACTTTACCTCTGTTTGCTTCATGATGAAGTACGGATGGGGCTCGCATGCTTGGGATGTCTCTCTCGCAGATATGGTTCAGTATAACAAGGTACATATAATGATCTTTTAGAGATAGTCGTTATCCGCTGACAATGATAGTACTTGCGAAGCTCTCGATCCTGTCCGTTCTTTACCGCATAAGCCCAGCACGAGGCCTATCAGATCTCGGTCTATGTCATTGCAATTGCGTTATTAGTTTATACCATCACCTTCACCGTATTACTTTCAGGGCCTTGCAATCCGAAGGATGTTGGGTCGGGAGTCTGCTTAAACAATCTCGCCATCTCCCAAGTCGTCTTGAACATTGCGACTGATTTGTCCATCATCATTTTACCGCTTCCCACGTTACATAATCTTAAAATACCATTTCGACAAAAAGTTGTTGTGGGCTGTATTCTGTCCATTGGTTCTGCGTAGGTATCTACTGGTTGATTAAGAGATAACAAAATACTAACCGCCCCTGCAGTGTCCTAATCGCGTCCATCGTCCGAGCTCCTTACGTCCACATCATGGCCACAAATCCCGACTTCACCCGGAAACAAGCCGAGGCTGGTGTATGGTCCTTGGTCGAACCCAACATGGGCATTGTATGCAACAACCTGATGCGCCTGAAGCCGTTTCTCAGAACATACCTTCCCAGAGTCTTGACTTTTCTCGGTCTCACAGCCAAGTCTAAGCATCAAGGAGACAGTCCATCCAAGTCCAGCGGGAACTGGAGGGCCAGACCCTCGCACAGCTATCAACTGAATAGTCTAGAGCATGAGGATCCTCATCATAAGAGGTTTAGAAAGGAGCCGTCAGTGGAGGAGGCTGCTTTTGGTGACTTGGATAAAGAAGCTTCACGTCATAATGGGAGCACTGATGATATACTTAGATCATAACGATTACCCTCCGTTACGGGAACTCCAGAAGCTATTTACAAGAATCCATAAAGGTATTCAGATAGAACCATTGATCAACCATGCTTTCGGATAACACGAAGATTCCTCAATACTCAGGATTATTCACGTCCTTGACACTATACCTTCGTTAATACGGCAAACACCTCATTCAGCCTGAGCTTCCGTAACCAATATACACGCTCTGCCCAACGATACTCCCAAGGCTGCCACGAGATAACAGCACAGCAGGCCAGTCTCTCTCACGACCATAATAAACCGCAAGCACTGCGACAAGTGCCGCCGTTGTCTTGAAGACAGAGCTCTGTCGAAAGCCTTTTTGGCTTGCCAGATCATGCTCTATGGTACCATCTAGTTCCCCTCTTCCAGTAAGTCCCAGCCGAGATGCAAGAAGAACAAGGCTTCGACCAGTTGTGAACGCCCTGACCTACAACCTCGGCGGTAATGACGTTACAGGTGAACCAGCAGCCGGTCTTCATCGAGAATGCGCGGGTCAGGGTTGTGTGACCACATAGAAAGTGGTTCGTGTTCATGATCCAGACGCACATTGTAAGTTTTGTGTGAAGTCTGGTTGGAAGGGTAAAAGCTGACTGATGAGGTATGCGAAGAGGGTAGAATCGCCGACAGCGGCGCAGGTTGTAATAAAAGGCAATAGACAGACGAAACTATTGTCTATATCGCCGAGAAGTGAAGTATCATTGGTGTCGCTCTGAAAAGCTTGAAGGATGAGAAGCAACAATCAAGACGGATGGACGCGAGGAACTGAGCCTTGTTATCTATGTCGCAAGCTGCGCGTCGCATGTGAAGCCAAGCCCAACGACTCTAGCAGCACAGTGTCACACCTGATTGACTCTGGCCAATCTGTTGACTACACTGCAGAGTCAAGAAACAAGGGGTTTGAAAGGGATGTCTGAAGTGCAATACAGTACAACCATCACACCAGAAGTCGCGAATCTGACTGCTCACGGTTACTGTTTCGGAATCGATTCTCCGGAACAGAAGAAAAGAACTGATTTTTCACCGTATTCCATATTAGGAAGGTTTTACCATATCATGCTTACTGCTGACGGTCTCCAGAGCCTCACGAGGTACAATCGCTCTTATTGGCTGTTGTTTCGTAAAGACAAATAAACCATGTATATAGGTAAGCAAGGCGGAATCCTACAGGTCGAATGGCTGTCCACGTAAGACGTGATCGGGTCAGCAATGCTGCTGTGCCGCTTGACAGCCTGAAAATACAGATTGATAACTGAGAGGTTGGAGAAACGTTAATTCAGCTGCTTCTTTGGTCACGAGCTGAGAATCCTACAGATGCATGGATTAAACTCATTGGCTGATCGGAACACCATGTCAGCGTCGCTTCTCAAAAATGAAGCCTCACTCAATTAACCGAGACAAATGATGCAGTGTTTCTTGATTGATATTGATAATAGCCCCAATGGCCCCCATAGCTGCCTGCTGTTTACTGACACATCGATGCAGCCTCACTCCATCGCTATCGGAGACATAGCTTTCATGTTGGTATGGCATGATTTGGCGATGAGGCATCAGTATTATAGCCTGAAGGATTTTGTATTGAGAATATGGCGTTGAGCTTCATGGTCGTGTGGTCCGGAAAGGAAGTTAACCGAAGGCCTCTATGATTCGGTAAAATCATACTGATTGCGACGACTCGCGGCCATTTTATCAAGTGCCTGAGCATCGCTTGGATAGCAAAATATGTGGAATTTGATACACAACCCAGGACTCAACAGAGAGAGACATGAACAGCAGCGTAAATGTTAGGCAGCAGGATAAAAACAGAGTACATAGACTCAGTGAGCGAGGATCGATTTCCAAAAGCAGATATCAGAATCTCCAATTTATTACTATTCTATTCAATTCTATAAACCTCTAACCATCTAACACATTTAGACATTGGATATCAACGCTAAGAACTGAGTGCGCCCCTCTAACGCAAAGCATAATTCGACCTGTTTTCTTCCATCTCAGATTACATTCGTTTATTTGTTGGAGGGCTTGGGCTTCCAGAAGACCCAAGCGAAAGTGATGCACAGCTTGAGGAACGCAGCGATCCAAAGAGCTCCAGCAAATCCAACCCAAGACTTGGACAGGAAACCACCGGAAACAGCACCGGCGAAGAGAAGCACAGCTCCAGTGGCTCTTCGGTTTCGATCGGCGTTGTCGTTGATGGGCGCAGTGAAGAGCTTTGCGTCGCTCATCATGTCGCAGTACAGACTTGTCAGGACAATAGTCGGCATGGCGTTGTACTTGAGGACACGACTGGCGACAATCTGGCCTGCACTCTGGAAAGCGAGGATGATGATGGCTGCGTAGTCGGTGGCCGGGAATGAATCCTGGACTCGTTCAATAATCCAGCCATTCTCGTGCACTGTTTCCCGACCATGGGGATGGTTATAGACTGCGCCGGTTGTAGCGAGGATAGCTACCAGACCAGTGAGAAGAGCCTGGATAAGGAATGACGTGATAAGGACCCAGCGCTTCTGAGGTCCGAAAAATCGGTGGAAGCTGGAGAAGAAGAGCGCTCCAAAAGCGAAGCAGACAATAGCGAGAAAACAGCGAGACCACGCTTTTCCAGGTAGGTTTTCAGGCTGATGGCTGACGCCTAGACCAACAAAGATTGTGTTTCCTACAGGATGTGAGTTTGAGTTTCGACGTATCAATTGAGATGAACTGACCTGTTTGCATACTGACGAAACAGCCGTACATGTTAAATGCAGCGCTGTCAACGAGACCAGCCACGAAGAAACAAATGAGCAGCAGAATATCACCCCATCGCGTGTCAATCTCCGTCGTGAATCTGCTGGCCACAGGGCTCTTCGTCTCTCCCTTCACCCCAGCTTCGGGGCTATCGCTACCAGAGTCGGGCATATTGACCGAGATTCGGAAGTGTTGCCGAAAGGTATTCCCTCTCCAAAAAGTCGTTTTCAACGTCGATAACGGGGTTCTTTTTAATCCAACGGCCGTGGGCGTGATGACGTCTTTGGCAGATTGAAAATGTTTTCTTAGTTGACGCCTCGAAAAGTTATTTTGAAGGGAGAGAAGAAAACAAAGAGTCACTCCTTTAATCGGGATGACGTGCTGGATGGCCCCACTATTCTTCGGTGCGAAAATTGTCTGGGCTGAGAGAGAAGAAATTAGGATCCGGCGATTTCGGCTCTGAATTGCTTCGCCAAGAAGAGTGCACGGACGGTGCGTACGTGGACTAGTCTGGGCAAGATATTGTTAATGGGCTCTGTCTAAGTGGATTAAGTCGAATTGTATAGTAAAAAAATTGCTATTCTTGTAGGTCAAGATCACAGCCTTTCTTTTACTCCTGCAAACCGCAATGGCAGAGGAATCATATCATTAAATGACAAAGAGGGAGGAGATGCCAAGGTGCACTGCCTCGGCGCCTTCTATTGACAAAACAATACCAAGAATCGCGTATTGCCAAGCCGGCACTTAACTTCCCATGCCGAGATCACTTTTTCTAGGCATTAGGGACTGCATATTCCGCTAAGAAGGAGTGTCAAGCAGACTTGTTGGCTTCGTAAGTAAGCTCCTTATCTAATCATCCTGTCATAAAAGTGAATTCTTGCAGCGCGTGGTTCAGGGAAGGGTGCATTTCAGCAAGTGGGCAACTTTCAATAGCTCAACTGAATAAAAGCATTGACCAATGTATTTTTATCCCAGATTGGGATAAAAATCACGCCCAATAAGAACCTAGGATTACAGTTGAGCATTCTGTTTCTGTCGTAGCCATGGGATATCAATTTTTGTTGTCTTGAGTATTTACTTACCCTGCACATCTACTGTGGCGTCTTGGCTTTCCATCAACAACATGGCAGTATTTAACTATAGCAAGCAATAACGCAAATTAAGCTTAGGATTGAAGTCTCGATTTTATACTATTATTCTCCTTGCAAGTTTCTAGAGGCTACTAGCTAATTTCCATAATGAAGAAATTCATTGTCCAACGTCTCGTAGGAACAAGCCACGTGTGGCGCAGCATCAAGCACAAATGTTTTATGCAGGCAAAATTCAGAGCCGGGTTTTCTTCATGTGCACACCAACTCACAGCTCTCTCATCATGTCGAACCCTGCAAACTCACAACCGGATAGCTTAATACAAGCAGAAAAATGCAAAGAATACTGGGAGTCCGTTGACTCTGACAATAATGGAATGCTTGGCGGTGTTTTATCCGTCATGCCCTCCGTTTCCCGCATCGATCTCCAAGGCTCGCGAACCTTCCTTGCCAGATTAGGTATAGGAATCAAGAGTGGTAGACAGAGGATACCGAGAGTTCTCGAGGGTGGAGCGGGGTGAGTCTCTGTAAGATACCCGTGGACAAAATTGCTAACGGATGACTATAGAATTGGCAGGATAACCGAGGGTCTTCTCCTGAAGCTCGCAGATCAGGTTGATGTCGTTGAGCCGGTGGTGAAATTCACAGATGCACTCCGCGGCAAGCCCGGCGTAGGAGAAATTCACAGCGTCGGTCTTGAAAAATGGGAGCCTAGCGAAGGAGCTGTATACGATCTTATCTGGATCCAATGGTGCATAGGACATCTCAACGACGAGCAGCTACTGCAGTTCTTGGAGAGGTGCAAATCTGTTTTGGAGAAGGAACACGGTATTCTCGTGTTTAAGGAGAACTTGAGTACATGGGGTCAGGATAAGTTTGATGAGCTTGATGGCAGTGTCACAAGGTAAGAATTGTAGCTGAAGTTCTTGGGTTAGAAACTGACGAGTCACAGGGAGGATGAGAAGTTCCAGCAGCTTTTCAAGAGAGCGGGGCTGAAGTTGGTGAAATCAGATATGCAGCGTGGATTCCCGGTTGTCAAGAACCGTCAACTACTCCCGTTGAAGATGTATGCTCTTCGCCCGGAGCAATAAAGCAAAGTCTCGGTTACATCAGTTCAGCGCACGGAGTCGGCGTCTACCAGAGCAGAATCGAGTACTTAAGGTACACAAGGCAAACTGAGAATGCATTTTATTGGCTGGCCAAGTCTCAAACGTTGATTTGCCATGTTCCTGAAGCCACAAAGATTCTGCCAAGCCAACATCATAAACGCGACAACCGCGTTTCTAGACCAGCGATTGGCTACATGTGAAGCGCAACCAACCAACAGCTGTTTCAGCACAACGTTCATTGTCCTTTTGGCTTCAAGGCATACATTTTAACTGGGAGCAAAGATTTTGGAAATCCTTTTTGCAACTCAGCTTGTATAATTTCTAAACCCGCCTTTTCAAAAACTGCTCTAAAGCCCTCATCCGTTCTAATCTTACCGTCAGCATGAATCTTTAAGTTAAACTGGAATTCGAAAACGTACCTTGTTACCGTGCTGTCAACCTCGTCATACGTATACTCCCCACAATCACTCAAGTTCTCCTTCAAAACAACGACGCCATCGGCACTCAAACAAGCAGCGCAGCGCTGGAGGTATTTGACGAGGAGAGCATCGGATATCTGACAGGCACACCATTGCGCCCAGATCAAATCATACTGGACGTCTTGCGGCTGCCAGTCCTGCAATCCAATGTTGTAAATCTGGCCTACACCGGGTGTATCTACCAAACCAGCGGTGAACTTAGCAACAGGTTCAATGATATCCACCGTCTCAGCGACATCAAGGAGCAAGCCTTTAGTGACTCTACCAATTCTACATAAAAATGATTAGTGTCAATATACTTCTATTTCAAGAGATCTACTAACCCAGCTCCGCCTTCTAGCGCTCTCAAAATCCGGGGCTTGCTAATCCCCAGCTTAGCTAGGAACGACCGCGAGCCCTGTAAGTCGATCCTCGACACGGAGGGAAAACCGCCCAGCATGCCGTCGACGCTAGCGGAGACGTTCTGCCAGTAATTCATCGCCTCATCCATTGATATCAATGAATCGGGCAGTGGATGTTGTACCATGTCTGAATGTTGTTGTCTGTCGTCGAAAAAATTACAGTATTTCGAGGGAGGCTTTTCTCATACCGCCGATTAAACCGGGCTAAAAATAGCAGAGGTTTAAAATGCCTGAGGCAGGGTGACTAAATATACTCCACTTGGGAGGAAGCGAGGTCCAGACTTTGGTCTGAACTCACCGACAGATGGGGACTAAACAAGTCTTGCACTATAGTTAGTGGGGGGAAGTATGTTTTTGGGTGTCATTACGTGAGACATGCAGGACTTAATAAGCGCAATGTTAGAAGTGTCGAGCTCTATCCCATTGAACGTATGACGGAGAGAAAATTCTTCCCAAGGTGTAACGTGATCTCATACCCCTGTCACGAATATCAGCTGGGGCGAAGTTTAAACCGAATATGACGCCATGCTTGGAATATTGGGTTGGAATGCTTAATTGTGAATCTGACCCATATCATAGGACGTATCTGTATCGTATCTTTATTACGTATAGCAGCCTAAAGTATAGCCTTATAGGTGGCAGTTAACTATATAACCTCGTGACCAGCAAATACTTATCAATTATTGTCTCAAGGCTTGTTCAGTTTGACTGTCTGTGATCTTTATAAGCCGCTACCGGTTCCTAACACCGACGACTAAACAGCAGTACCGCGAATCCTCTGGTTCAATCTGGGTAGCAAGAGTATTTTGTAGCAACCTCTATATTTCACAGCCTCAAATGACGGCCATTTCCCCATAGGATTCGGCTTGACGGCCGAATAGTAAATGCTTGGCCAAGAAAGGAAAGAACGCTAGAATTCAATCTTAAATCATTTAAATTCGTTATTGTGAGAAACCATCCCGTCATACTTGGGCCTTGGGCTTTTGGCCATACACAACGTGTCTAGAACCTGTTAGTACTCTACTCTCCAAAACCTTGAAGATCACTTACATAGGCCACCAAGCGTGAATGCGCCTATCCTTCATATCAGTCCTAACCTTTGCCAAAAACACCTCTACCTCCTCAGGACTCCACCCAAGCCCTTTCGTAAAGAGCACCATAGAAAGACCCGACAGCTCACCCGCGATATTATGATTACACCAAAACCCTAAATCGTCAGCTCAACTCTCCCACAGTGACAGAAAAAACATACCAAGTTCCTTGTAATAAGGATCAGCAGGCCATTTATTAGAAGGCCACTTATACACAACCTCTGTAACATTCACAAACCCCGCATCAATCATCTGCTGCTTGTAAAATTTCGCACTCTCCGCCGTGCGACCGAATTTATTCGTCGCTTCGATCATGAGGCTGGACCACTGCTCGATGTAAGAATCCTTCTTGAGAGTGTCGTCGTCGCATTGCGCGGGAAATGTTATGTCCTGACATTCAACCCAGCCGCCGGGACTCAGCGCGTTGAAAGATTGGGCAAAGAATTTGGGAAAGTCGCCGATTGAGCCGGTCATCATGCGGGCGAAGATGAAGTCGAAGTTGTAGGAGAAGGTCCATTCGTCTTCGAGGTCGTCGACTTGGAATTGGAGATTTGTGGGGAGGCTGTAGTTGTCAGTGAGAATGAGCTGGACTTTGAAGATTGTAGGCGTACAAATTTGGCTGGATGGGGCTGAGATCGATGCCGATGACCTAGAATGTTAGTATTGATGTGAAACGTGAGATGCGGTGTTGTACTTCGGTTTCGGGATGGGCGTCGGCAAAGTCAATCGCCCAGACGCCAGTACCGGTTCCTGCATCAAGAACGCGGCTCAAATGCTTGGTATCTCCAATCGGGCTGAGAAAAAGCTTTCCGCCAAGAGTGAGCGTGAACAAATGATGTTGCAGATCTACTCCAATCAGCCGATGCTCATAATACCCGTATAGCTCACTCACCTAAACGTTCTTGCTCAGACTGATGAGGCGAGATGTTAGTTGGCTAGGTAATTCAAGACACGTGAATTTCATACCGAATCGTTTGGGAGTACATAATTGACTATGGTAATTAGTATGATGCTTCACATGAGCGAGGGCTACGTACTGGATTCTCTGAAAGCGTGGTATGTTCGTCCGTTCTCGGTGCGATAGGCCATGATGCTTGAATTGATTGACGCTGTACTGCTCGCAGCATCATCCTGCAAACATCAGCTCACGTTACAAACAATCCTGGATGTTCCCTACCCCTATCGCTGAATCATTATCAGGAAAATCCTGCTCACTCTAAATCTCGTCAATTCAATTCAATCTCCCCTCAGCAGCCTCAATCGCGAACCTCGGCTTGCAGCGCGCTCTCATCAGTCGTGGGCGCATGTCTCTCTGCTTCTGTCACGGAAGGGGTTACAGCGGTCTTGAGATCCGCAGCATCATCGCCCGCCTGCTTCTCAGCCTCTGTATCGGTCGTCATGGTTCCACTAAGTTGAAATGCGACGTTGCGCTGCGAGTTGCAATTCGGCAAGGAGACATTAAAGGTGAACGAAGAAGATTATGAATGTCCCCTCATCTGAATAAACAAGATAACGTGCTGAGCCGCGCCTCGTTACTGCAATAAAACGTCGCGGGCGCAGAGCCAGTAAGCACAACTGACGTGGCTTGTGGCTGGCATGTTACAAGTCACTTTCTCGACTGACTGCGGAATATTTCTCCTTCAGGGCAACAGCTAACCTTGATCATCGGATCATCAACCCTAAACGATGCCCTCTCTCCGATTCCAGCGATCAAGGTCCCGGGTTCCGCGGTCGATGGCGTGTAAACTAGCACGATAGAGGATGGGTTTAGTGGTCTAGAAGGTCTAGCGCTGAGTTTAGTCTGCTGTGGAGGGGCTGGAACACAAGACAGCTTCGTTCACATTCGTTGTCTTACCGAGGGGATGGATGCAATGTAATGCACGATCATATGCTAGTGAAAGGAAGGGAATATTAATGATCCCCTTGACCTGTAGAATTGTTTCTTTTTGTAAAGCCAAGTCCCCACGGGTTCGGCCCGCTGGTCCCTGATCCAAAGTGTTCGCCCCAACCAACAGCTTCAACGCTTGGTGATATAACCACCGCGAATTGTTGAAGATTGTTCTTGGCAGTGCCATCATGGCTGCAGATTCTTTTCTGGTCCATTTGCGCGAAATGGCTGGTGATGTTCGCCCATCGGTCGCAATCGCAGGGCTGCTTCTAGTCTTCCTGACACTCTGGTCCGCCCTCTCAACATGGCGACAGTACAACCGCCTGCGCGAATTTAAAGGCCCTCGCCTAGTAGCCCTCTCAAAATGGTGGTTAATCAAGAAAGTCGGTGGTGGAAGAGCATACCTCGACTTCTGGGAGGTGACAAAACAATACGGCAAATTATCCAGTAATCGCATCGCCATCGCAAGCTCACAATCTCAACAGGTTCAATCGCCCGAGTCGGACCCAATGATCTTCTCACCGACGATCCAGAACTAATGCGCCACATCCTCAACGTACGAACCGAGTATCGTCGATCAGATTGGTACGACGGCATGCGCTTCGATCCCGGCAACAACAACATTCTCTCATGGCGCAACGAAGACGAGCATTTCAAGCTGCGCTCTAAAATGTCAGCTGGCTACGGCGGTCGCGAAGTAGAGAATCTCGAGCCCAAGATCGACAAGAACATACTCTCCTTCATGAACTTGTTGGGAACATACGCCGATGAGAAAAAACCCGTTGATTTTGGTCGGCGAGCGCAGTTTTTCACTCTAGATGTCATTTCGGACCTGGCGTTTGGTGAGCCGTTTGGGTTTCTGGAGACGGATTCGGATGTGTACAAGTATATCCAGATCACGGAGGAGACGCTGCCAGCTGTCATGGTGACAACGGTGATTCCGTGGCTGGTCAAGATTTTGAGTTCGCCGCTATTCAAAAGCCTTTTGCCGTCGGAGAAGGATAGGCTTGGGTTTGGAAAGTTGATGGGGTGAGTATGATGACGTTTAATTGAATTGGGTGAAGGTGCTGACGGATTGAAGAATTGCGAAACAGGTCACGGCTGAGCGATTTGGACCAGATAAAAAGGTTCAGAAAGATATGCTTGGGTCTTTTGTTGCTCATGGCCTTACACAGAAAGAAGCAGAGTCGGAGATTCTGTTGCAGATGTAAGTGCTTCGAGTCAATTGGTGTCTTGGCTAACAGTCGCAGCGTCGCGGGCTCAGATACCACAGCTACAGCCATTCGCTCAACCATGCTTCACATCATCACCAATCCCCTCGTATACACCACCCTCCGCTCCGAAATCTCAAAAACCCACTTCTCAGAACCCATCATCCCCGACTCCATCGGCCGTGATCTTCCCTATCTCCAAGCCGTCATAAAAGAAGGTCTCCGCATATTCCCCCCCGTCGCAGGGCTAATGTCCAAACAAGTCCCTCCCCAAGGCGACACCTGGAAAGGAAAGTTCATACCTGGCGGCACCAAAATAGGATACTGCGCGTGGGGAATATTCCGCCGTGAGGATATCTGGGGTTCTGATGCTGGAGAGTTTAGGCCGGAGAGATGGCTGGAGAGTAAGGGTGAGAAGTTGAAGGAGATGGAGAGTGCGCTGGAGTTGATCTTTAGTTATGGAAGATGGCAGTGTTTGGGGAGACCGGTTGCTTTGATGGAGCTGAACAAGATCTATGTTGAGGTAAGTATTTTGATGATGAGGGAGGATGAGGCTAATTTTGTGTAGTTGTTGAGACGGTTTGACTTTACGATTTGTGATCCAACCAAGCCTTGGACTGTGTTTAATTGCGGTATTTTCTCACAGTCTGAGCTCATGGTTCGCGTTCACCGCAGAGATTGAATTGTCAAGGGTCATCTGATTACGGCTACGGAGACATGTACAATGGACGGACCGCAATGGACTCGCTGGGTTCCTGTATGCACCATGATAGTTTACTTCCAATTGCGTTTGCTCAGATCACTGTGTTTGTAGTTGGATAACTCCAAAATACGTATACAATAACAAAGGACGTCTGCAATCCAGAACAACCTCAGCCATCACCTTGCTTGATTTGTTCTACAATAACTAAGTATCTAGGTGCACATGCAGTCGG